GGGCCAAAAAATCTGAATTAGGTCACTTCAGACTGCAGTCTGAGCTGAGCCTTTGATTCCTCTCGATTCAGAAGGAAATGTTTGAGGACGTCCTGCCCACAGGAGACACAGAAGGAGAGCGGATCTAAACTCCTCACTGAGACCAGTAAAGTTTCTGATGTTGGCTCCTGAAGCCTCTCAGGTTTTCTCCTTCTGTGGTTTTCTTTGGGACACCGCGTAATATGACACATTTTTTGATTGACAGCTGAAACATGAAGGATCCAGCAGAGGAATCAAGGAGAAGGAAGTGAGGAAAGAGAAATGAGACGTGGGCCTTGTTGTTTCTGTGGTGTGAGAACAGATGACACAGACACAGTTTACTTTGTTAGTATTCATAATAGTTTGTATACACAATGTATAGGAGCACCAATAAAAAACATCATTTTTTCTTAAACATTTTGTCGTTTTTTTTTAAAAAGCCACAGATTTGTTTCTACAGAAAGCAAAGAAAGCTCTGTACAAGAACAAGCAACAACAGAACTCTCCCCATGCCCTCTGCTGCCCTCTGCTGGCCGCTGCTTACCTAGACACTACCATACACAACAGCCTCAAACACAACATATGTAAGAAATGTACTCGTCAAAAAGTGTGAAAAAGTGCAGTACAGATTCAACTGTTTACAACTCGATGGGTTCTGCCAGCCGGGACTGCGAAGGACAATGCTCTTTGGGACGTCCAAAATGAAAAAATGTTTGCATTTCTTGCTTTGCTCTTTTCTTTTTTTTTTTTTACATCCGAAATGTGTGGAACAGCTTTATTCTTCATACAAAAAAACACCAGGTAAAAATCTGGGAGAGTCCGTTCAAAAGACCAGCATGTCGTCCAGTCTGTAGTGTAGAAACCAGAGGAGCACCTGTACCCGGACGCTGCTGACCGGAGAGGGGGCGGGGATAGGGGGGAGGGTCAGGCCGTGTGATCCGGGGACGGTGGGTAAAAGGCTTCCACAAAAAACACAACGTTACATAAACAGTTCAAGGTACAGCGAGGAGAGGGGCCTATGCTTTCAATACATGTGCTATAGGTTGTGTTCATGTGAAAGTCCCACTGCACTGAATCAAAACACGAACAAAAAAAAAGAAAAAGTCTAAAGCTGCACTGTGTAACTTTTCTGGCTTGTCTCCAATGTTCTGGACCTGAAATGTTCCACAGTATATCATAAAAGAGCTCGCCGTGCTTTTACTGTTTTGAAAATGCTCTATTTGCTGAAAACAACTTCTTACTTACAACTTACAAGGTTCCCACGGTCATGGAAATTGAAAATGACACTTTCCAGGCCTGGAAAATCATGGAATTGAGTATCTTTAAAGCAGCTACAGTGTTCTGTTAAGTTCTCATGAGGTTATTCTGATTATTTCTGAACATTTTGTTTAAAAGAGATGACAATAAATGCATGGACAGGATTTTGACTAAAAACTATAATCCCAAACCATAAAGTGAGTGGAAAGAGTTAATATTTCATATTTAGCCCTAAAAGTCTGATCAATTCTATATATGTAGATGCTGTAAAGTCATGGAAAACTCACTTTAGTTAATGAAAGTCATGGAAAAGTTTTGAAATTTTGTCAGTGAAAAAACAGTGGGAACCCTGAACTTACAATTAAAATGTTTTGTATGTTTCAGATTTGGTTTTGGTGCTCCGAGGCTCCCTTCCCTTTGCTCTCTCCACACTGAATCACTCCCCCTTCAGAGCACTACATCACAACCCAGTCAGCGTGCATCCCACTTATGAAACTACTGCACATCGCATCAGGTTAGTGTCATGTTTTTGTGTGTTTATGGAGGATTGTCGTTTGTGGGAACATGGGGGGGACGTACGCTTGTGGGCGGAGCCTTGCACTGAATCTTACTGCTAACCGTAAGAAGGGTTTGAATAGAGGGAGATGTTTAAAAAACATGCATGGAGGAAATCTAAAAGCTCTTCAGGCAGGTTTTTCATGAGGGGACAACATTATAACTTGGTAGAAAGCTACAAAAAGTAAATTGTTGCATAATACTGCCTTTTCAAAGTGATCCATGTCCATGAGACAATCAGGTGACAGCAGTAGACCAAGGAACAGCAGGTCAGATCTGCGGAGAGGCAACCTCACGCACACTGATAATGCACATTCTTAAAAGGGGATTAAAGCAGTAAAACATTTATAATTGAATGAACGCAAGGTAGACAAGTTTAATACAATACTGTGGAACATTCCAGGTAAAGCTAGACCATCTCCATGGAGACAAAAGGTACATAGTGCATCTTTAAGTCCCTCTCTGTTAGCACAATTAACAAATACAAGAAAATATGAATAGAAATTGTCATTGTTGTTTGGAGATGGAATTTTCACTTTTGAGCTAAATAAAACAAAGAAAATACTGCTGAATTCAATTTGAAAGGTTAATTAAAAAACAAAACAAAAAACATTCTACCACATGAACGCAACCTATAGATTGGGTCATACAGAAAAAACTACGTGAAAACAACACCATTTCCTGGTTATCAAAAGAAAAGTGGAATATAGTGAAATTCTCCGCAGATCGCAAAAATAAATTAAAACACAAATTTCCCTTTTTGTAAGTATAATACAGAGGGACATGTTTTGTTGAGTTAAAAAAAATGTAAAAAGTATTCAAGGACTTGTTATTGTTTACTTCCTGTTTGGTAACCAGGAGACGGCCTCGTTCAGGATTCTCGCATTCAATAGTCAAAATGAACAGCATATAAAAATATACATCAGAGGGTACAGCAACGCGTACAAGTTTCAAACAGATTCACAATGCAGTCGAGTAAGAGTGTTTTCAAATATGTCATAATAGTCCAAGAAACAGTGGTGTAGAGGGTTAAGCAATCGCCCATAAACCAGAAGGTAACTGGTCTGATTCTCGCTGTTACTTCAGAGTGTCAGACTTCACTCACGTTGGCCTCTTCACTTACAGTAATATGGCTGGTTGTAACCGGAAGGGCATCCGGCTTAAAAATATGGCAATTCCCAAAACAACTACTTCACCATAGCAACCACGAACAAGAAGGACTGAGGATTTTCCACGTCATGATTTCAGTGTAATTTATTTGATATTGTTGTCTGGCTAATCCCTTTTTAAAAACAGATCTAGAATAAAAATCATTTGACATTTTTTAAAAACACTCTTACTTTTCCTGCATTGTTTCATACCAGCATTTTGTGTACAATTTGATTTTGAGTAAACTTCTGGATGCGCTCCCACTCTTTACACATAACAGCAATGGGAAACAATACAAGAATGAGGCAGTTTGAACAACAAAAAATAAAAATAAAATATGTACATGTTTATACGGATATGCGTGTAAAAATAATACAATAACATAGAAAAAAAATTAAAGGTCCTATATTACACAAAATGGACTCTTGTGAGCTTTAAGTCATGTTACAATGTTGTTACCTCGTCAAAAACAGATCTGGAGTTGTGTTCATTTCCCTCACACGTGTTTGAGTCATCCTGCATTATTAGTCCGTCTACATCTCCAAAGCTCAGGATGCTCTTTTTCATCATGTGATGTCATGTAGTGGTAGTTTTCATGTTTTCATAACTGGCAGTTTGTTCTGCTCCCTGCTCTTCCTCAGTCATGTGATGTTACTGTTACATGTCGCTCGGCTGATTTAAACAGGTTTTGGTGCCGTCTTCCTCAGGACAGTATCCCAGTTGCGTGAGAGTAAAAAGCCCCCTCATCTCAGTTTATAATCCCATGGGCATGTTTCCTATTTTGATTGCCTTTTTTTTTTTTAGATTTTGTGTTTTGTTGCTTGTGTTTTGTGTTCAACGTTTCCTTCTTGCATTCTGTCCTCTGTTCCTTTTTTCATGGACTAAGTGACCTCCCGTTTCCCTGATGTGTGTTTTATTGCAGGACAAGCAGGGGATTTCGTATCAGACGTTACATTTATGCTCCGGTTCTGTTTTCTCTTGGGTGGACGAGTATTTGCCTGAGTTTTCTGTTCGGTTTCACTGGTGTGTTGATTGTGTTTTCTCATTGCTCTCTGCAGGTCTTCTGTTATGCCCCTTAAGTACGAGGGGCTTTTTTCCTCACACACCTGGGATACTGTCCTGAGGAAGTGGGACTGCAGATGGCGCTGTCGTCCTGCCTCCAGCAGTAGAAAGACGGTGCCAAAACCTGTTTAAATCAGTTGAACAACACGTCACAGTAACATTACCAGACTCTGAGGAAGAGCACAAGGAGCAGAACTGTCAGGGATCAAAACAAACTCTTGGTCTAAAAAAAGTATATATCAGAAGACCAAATGGACTGTCATGTAGTGGTAGTTTACAGTGAACAGCTCCTTTTTGTTGCCTTTTGTTTTGTAGAGATAGGCAATTCCGGGTCTGAATACTCCAAATGATTCTAGTGACGGTGTATGGAGTTACAACATGACATCACAAGGTGGAAGTCTGGAGTGTTTTCATGTGTGAACGAACCAAAACGCAACTCCGGTTATGTTTTTGACGAGAAAACATTATAACATGGATCGGAGGGTAGCGCAATATGGGCCCTTTAAAAGTCATGGCACGATAAATGGTAAAAAACATCAAAAGGAGAACTGTCATGGAGCCGGCACGGAGGAACGCTAAACCGAACGAACGTCACGCCAACAGTTTTGTCCCATTTTTGCTGAAGAAAAAAAAAAAACAAAGTTCACAATCTTCTCGAACAATTTTAAGAGTTCAGTTCCAACGACAACATCAACGTCATTATTATCGCTTTGTTTTCCCTTCCCTCTCTTGGCAACCTCCGTCCTGAGAAAGGTACTTGGAGAATAAAGTAGTAGAAGTCTCTTGCTGGGGGCCGTGAATGCTTTACGGGCACAAGACGCCATTTTGTGTCCACAGTTTTGCAGTTTCATTTTTTCTGTTGTCCTGAATGGATGTGTGAATGGCATAGATTGTTGTTTGTTTGGGAGGGGAGGGGGGGAGGGAAGGCGGGTACGGGGTATGGGCTGCTGGGTGGGTGGGTGGGTAGGTAGGTGGGTGGGGGTCCCTAGGGTGCTGTGGTGATGGCGTTGAGGTCCTTCATCAGACCCTCCAGGTGGGCCATCTCCTCGGTCAGCTCGTCCGGCTCGTAGCTCTGCGGGAGAGGCACAGGAGGGGGAGGGGCGTTACTGCGCGAGGCGGGAGAGGGGCAGGGCGGCAGGGAGGCCAGAACCTGGAGAGGAGGAAGAGAAGAAGAGAGGAGGAGGAAGAGGAGGAGAGAGGGAGAGAGGGAGATCAAGCAGAGGTCAGTCAGGCAGGTTTAAGAGGGAGGGGAGGTGCACACGGGGCTGTTACTGTCGCAAATGTTCAAGTTTAAGTGACGTTTGTGCAGATTCAGAACATGGGTTAACCGGGTTAGGTCTGGTATAGTCCTGGGTTTGTCTTGGTTAAATTCTGGTTAAGTCCTGGACTATTCCCCTTTAAATCCTGGTTTAGTTCTGGTTTAGCCCTGACTAAGTCCTAGTTTAGTCTTGGCTTAGACCAGCTTTAAACCTGCTTTATAGTTCCAGGTTTGCTGTCCTGGTTTAGTTCTGGACTAGTCCCAGTTTAAATCCTGGTTTAGCCCTAGTTTAGTCCTGGTTTAGGCTTGCTTTAGATCTGCTCTAGATCTGGGTTTGACCTGGTTTGTCCTGGACTAGTCCCGTTTAAATCCTGGTTTGGTTCTGGTTTAGCCCTGATGGACATCCTAGTTTAGTCCTGGTTTAGTCCTGGTTTAGACATGGATTATCCTTGTTTAAATCCTGGTTTAGTTCTTGTTTAGCCCTAGTTTAGTCCTGGCTTTGACCTACTGTAGACCTGGCTTTATGGTCCTGGGTAAATCCTGGACTATTCTCGTTTTAATCCTGGTTTAGTTCTGGTTTAGACCTGCTTTAGACCCGTTTTATATCTCATAATATCCTGGTTTAGTTCCAATTTAGTCCAGTTTTCATCCTGGGGTTTTGTCCTGATTTAGCTTTTAGTTTTGGTTTTTTAGTTTGTGGTAGTTTAGGTCCTGATTTTGTCCTGGAAATTATCTGATTTAATCTTAAACCCTGAAATATTTTAGCCTTAGTCCTAGATCAGTCTGCACATTCACAATAAGAAAAGTAGGAATACCTGAGCAAACTTAAACCCCACAGTCCTGTATACTAGTGTAATGTTATGGCTGTGCTGTATTAACCTAAATATGAGGTTTTTTTTTATAGTTTTGCAGCAGTAACAGTTCCTTACTGTATGAGTGAGCTGAGGATGGGTCAAAGAAACTGAAAAAAAAAAAAAAAAAAAGCAGCAGATGCAAGCGACCGTCCAAGATTATTAGGATTAAAAAAAAATAAAAATTGCATTCCAGGTTTTAAGATATTATCACGACCAGTTATTGATTACATTAGGCAAAAAACGCAACATAAACAGACAGAAAAAAACAGGAGGAAAAAAAAGAAGAGAGAGAGTCATTAAAACCAGCGTCCAGATGAAACAGTCCAGTGAGACGTCAGAGTGGACTGGACTAAACACTGTGAGACTATAGCAGGACGTCGATGTTGAGCAGGACTTGGCCGTAGCCGTGGCCGGGAGAGTTACTCACACTGTCCACGTCCTCGAGCATCTTGCTGGTCTCGGGGACTTCCGGTGGAGCGTTGGGGACGTTGACGATCATGGGGGTCCGCGTCCTGCCCAGTGTCCCGATGGAGGCCGTCTTCACCACGTGCGGGTGGGACGGGGGGCCTGGGGCGGAAGACGCAAGGGTTTAACTTCAAGTTACAAGAGTTATGTGATGTTTGTGCACATTCAGAACATGGGTTAACTGGGTTAGTGCTGGTTTAGTCCTCATTCAGTTAACTGATGTTTTACTTGTAGTTTAGACCTGGTTTAGCTCTGCTGAAGTCCTTGTGTAGACCTGGCTAAGACCTGCTTTAGATCTGCTATAGACCTGGGTTTGTCCTGGGCCTGTTGTCCTGAGTTTGTCCTGGTTTAGTCCTGGAATCGTCTCATTTAAATCCTGGTTTAGTTCTGGTTTAGCCCTGATGAAGTCCTACTTTAGATAAACGGTCAAATACGTCCAAGTGCCTATGACAGGTTGGACCACATCATCATTTTCCTAACTACTATATATAAGATTTGATTAAAAATGTTCAATTCTTTTTCAGAGTTTTGTCATTTTCTAGATTTAAAATTTCACTTCCTGGTTCTAGGGAAGTTCATAACTGTTACCAAGCAACCATGTAGTACACTCTGTCAGAACTCCTCTAATGTACACAGGAATGAATATCTGACAAATAAAAATGTAATTTATTTTGTTGAAACAATGTAAAATATTGGGAAAGTGTGTTCCAGTTTCCTTCTGCCTACACAGTATTATTCTACTAACTTAAGTAGTCATTTGAGAATGATCCAAACCTGTCATAGGTACTTTAAAGGTCATTGTATTTGTGGTGAAATCAGACATGACATTCTAGACAAATATAACACACACAGACAACACATTTTGTGTTAGTGGATTATTTAGATTATAAGGTTAAAAGTTAGATAAAGTTAGTGAGTGAGGTAGAAGATGATGTCTGAAGACGAAATGTCATACTTCTATGTGAAAGTCATGATTCACAAGTTTAATCTGTTTTTATAAATACATAGTTTCCTTGTACTTTTAGTTGGAGTTGTGTTTGCTTGCTCTCGTGTGCAGGTGTAGTCCTAGAGCAGTTTTGGTCAAATCCACAGAAATTGGAAATAGTTTTGATCATATAAATGCAAGATCGATCACTGAATCAGTTACAGAACTTAAACTGCTAGTATAGACTTTACTGTTTGTACAAATAATGGCTGCACTCTAAGGCACTGGATGGAACATTCACCCTGATGCATTTTTAAAGGAGAAAAGTGGACAGTGGAAAAAAAGGAAAGCCACAAATATTACAATTATTTTAAGATCCTCTGTTACACAGGAGGGATCCTGTGAGCTTTTAGCCATGTTACAATGTTGTTACCTTTTCAAAAACATACCTGAAGTTGTGTTTTGTTTCATTCACACAGTCTGTCTACATTTCCAAAGCTCAAAATGCTCAAGTTCCACCTTGTGATGTCATGTAGTGTTAGTTTTCAAGTTAACGGGTTTTACATATTGTTCAATAAAGATGGGCAATTCCCAGGCTCATTGAATCATTGAAATGATTCTAGTGAAGGTGTTTGGGGTTTAAAAACACACTGAAGCTCAAGGTGACGTGATGTTTTTTTCATTCTTAATGAATTGTTCTGAATTAAATTGTTCAGAATTAAAATATTCTCCTTTGAGTTTACATCATCCCAATGATAATTGTGCAGCAGCTGGAGAATTCTCTCATCACACTTTATGTCTGTCAGCTGAGGAGGAGAAGGAGGAAGAAGACAAAGTGAGTGTGAGGCTGCTCTACCTCAGCCCACTCCCACATCCCGCTCACAAATCCAAAGAGACGAGGATGAAAGTCCGAAGAGAGGATTGGTGGAGCCAGATCGTCCGGATCACGTCAGAAGGAAGACACAACGAGCATGTGCAAATATTTTTAAGATGAATAAACGACCAAGGGATAAATCAATTTGGCTTTAAATTTGGAATAAACCACCCACTTTATTTTCATTAGGAATTAAGTGTTGACCTTGTGACATCACAAGATGGAACAGAGTGTTTTCTGTTTGAAAGAAGAACTCAGCCTAAATGTGTGTGTTAAACATGTGAATGTAACAAAACACAACTCCAGGTTTGTTTGTGCTGAGGAAACAACATTAGAAGAGATCAGAAAGTAGCGTAACAGGCCGTCGAAGTGAGAATAGCCAAGCACACATATATATTGGACGTGAAGACTGGGACATACAGTATAGCATTGTGCAGTTTTCCATACCACTCTGAGCGAGCAGGGGTGTACTGGGCAGAGCGGGGTTCTCGTATGAGGGGTGGGCTCCGGGGGGCAGGGCGGGCACGGCGAAGCTCTTGAGCGGGTGCGCGAGGGCGTGAGGGTGAACCGGGCGCAGGGGGGGCAGGCTGCTGCTGTAACTGCCCTCCTCCTCCGTGGTGCTGGAGCCGTGGTAACTGCCCTCCGGGTCCACCATGATCTCTGAGGGGCAGGAGAGCTGAGAGGAGGCGGGGGGAGGGGGCTCTGAGCAGGGGGTGTTCCTCACGGATTCTGTGAGAGGAGAGAGAGACGGGGGAGATGGAGGGAGAGGGGATGGGGGAAGGAACAGCACATGTCCTGTCACCAGTACTGCACATACATCCCATTTAGAGAAATATTATCCAGAAAAATTGATAAAGGTGCACTATGTTTTTTTTCTTTTTGGAGGATCTGCCACCTACTTGTCTCCATGGAGATGTTATTCTATTTATCTTATCTATGGGGACAAGCAGGTGACAAGTCAGGTCTGTGGAGAGGCAGCCCTGCTCACAGTAAAAATCAGGTTTTTCAAATGAAAAAACTGTAATAAAACCCAAACAGACAAGCTTAATACTGTGGAAAAAAAAGCAATTAGATCTCCACACATTTTCTGGTGGAGGGACTGCCACCTGTTTGTCTACATGGAGATGTTATTGCATTGCCTGGAATGTTCCATTTAACGTATCTGTCTCCATAGAAACAAAGCAGGTGATGCCATCAGAAAAAAGATCTGTGGAGAGGCGACCCAGCTCACAGTAAAAATGCAGGTTTTGTTTGTAAGAACAGGTAAGCTTAATACTGTGGAACATTCCAGGCAATGCATTTTCCTCTCCATGGAGACAAGCAGTTGGCCCCCTCTCCAACAGTGAGTACCTTTAAAATGTCCAAGATCATGCTGCAGTTCCATAATATTGTACTATTGTGTGTTTTATGAAGATTTATTAGGATTTTAAAAAGGCTAATATAGTTTTTTTTATATATATATTTCTTGGTTGAATAATATTGAGTAGTAAACACTCTAAACAATTCAAATTAAAAAAGCCATGAGGATTAGAAGACAGGAGAAAGCGTGAGATGAAGTGATGAGATGTGTCCAGCAGAGGGCAGCAGCGTCTCACCTGCAGATTCCACCCTGTCCAGATGGGAGCTGGGGGTGGCGCAGTGAGGGCGCCCGCCGCTGGCTTGGTGGTGGTACAGGTAGGTGCGGGTGGGCGACGCCAGGCTGCCCATGTGATAGTGGTGCTGATGGGAGTCCAGAGAGTGGATGGGATGGGCACTAATGACCGCTGCACATGGACATGACACGGACACAATGAACACAATGAACACAGAGCAGGAGGGCGAGGACAACCGGAGCATGCAGGCTGACCGTCAAATGTATGAACAATATTTTGATGTATTACGGGTTTGTGTACCATCTGTTCTTTTGAATTTCAATTAAGAATGAAAAACAATAAAATGGGAAAACAGTTTGTCATTTCATTATTACGTTTTAGAGGTCAAAATCGTTTTTTTTGTTTTTGTTTTGTTTGACTATTTCCAATATTGAATTTAAAGTTTATTTCAAATATCAATCAAAAACAGTCTAGGAGCCTATTCCAACTTTGATATTTTATTCTCTCTGGTTTTATTTGCTGCTAGAAGGAATGACCTGTAAAATCGTTGCAATTTTGTGGACAAACATGTCATCTTTGTTTATAGAGATGCGTTTATTTTTGCATATTAGAAAGTCGTTGTTGAACTCCATGACGACAAACAAGAAACAGCGATAAACACTCCTTTGTTCAAACCAGACAGTTGCTCACTAGCTTCCTCAGGGTCACATGATGTTGCTGTGACATGTCCGGTCAGCTGATTTATATTTATTAGAGATGTAACCATATCCAAATCTCTCAGTACAATATTATCACGCTATACATCTCACAGTACGATATTTAATGCAATATTTTGGAAAGGCTAATATAAATGCTGATAGGACACGTTTTTGCTTTTGAAATACTTTGACAAGATTTTGGTGTGAATTATTTCTGTCATAATCCCAAGAATTCAAGTAAAAACATGTTTCTTCATGTTGTCTGCACTGAAATGAATCATGGGATATGTAGTTCCATATGTTTATAAGCTGTTGCTCCTATAAAATCATGTATTTAAGCAAAGGAACTTGTGATTTGCTCACGATATTATTGTGAGCTGTCAATATATATATATATATATAATATATATATATAGATATATATATAGATAGATATAGATATATAGCTATATATAGATGTCACGATATTTTGGTTATTGTTACATCCCTAGTATTTATATTATATTATTTGCTAGTGAGCCATCCAAACTGTCGGGTATGAAAAATTGTTGGTCTGAAAAAAGAGCTTAATAACAAATTAAGCCAAAGATGTTCATTTTGTCTTCTTATGTACTTGAGTTCTTTTTTAAGAACTCAAGTACACTGGGGACAGTTCTGAAGATGCTCGCAGCAGCAGCCCAAACATGTCAACAAGGTAAATACACTTTACTGTATTGTCTTTAAAAAGAACCCAAGATGTTAAATTACAAATTATCAGAAGACCAAATGAACCTCATTGGACTATCTCCTTTGTTCAGATGACCCTGAATTCACACACGGCCCTGAGCAGCAGAACTTCTGCGGCAAAGAATAAAATATCAAAATTAAATTATGCACTGAGACAGTTATTTAAACCTTACATTAAATATTGGAACTAGAGGTCAAAATCTTTTTTTTTGTTGTTGTTGTTTGACACTAAAACAGAAAAATGAAATAAACATTTTCCCATTTTATTGTTTTTCATTCTTTATTTAAATCCAAAAGAAGAATGGTACATGGACCTTTATGTTTTAGTATAAGCAAATTGCATTACATTCACATTCTACTCCAAATATATGAGAGACAGAGCCCTAATATTTCTCTGTATAATCTATATGTTAATGTTGTTAAGAATCTTACTGCTAACTGTAAGGAGAGTTTGAACAGTGGCTGAGAGAGATCACTAAATGACTTATACACACGTGGAAGACCTCTTCTACGACCTCTTCAGGCGTGTTTGTGAAAAGGGAACGACATTATACCAGTAGAAGATGTTACATAAAACCCCCTCTTTAATAAATCAAATCTCCTAATCTACTGAAGATCACATTTTGACTTGCCAAGATGAATTTACTTCATTTTCAAGCAGCTACAATCTCATCTGTGTCTTTGAGTCAAATGTCAGCTTTTCGCCTCTGCGCTGAGCACATCATTTCACCTAAGCACTTTATACCAGTTTCTCCACTAAACCTGTATTTGTCCAGATGTTATTTTACCGTCCTGCGCCGTCTTTAAGTGCTTTTCTGTTTTACCCTGGTGATTGTGGTGCAGCAGGTCCTCCAGTGTCCTCTCTCGCTCTCTCTCAGCAGACAACAACAATGCGGACGGAGCGGGGCTTAAAAGCATGGCAGGGACACGGATGATTTGTGCTGCACTTTGCTCTCGCTCGTCTAAAAACTTAAAGGAGCTATCTGAGGACATGGACCAGCCTCTCCTCTCCTCCCTCCGTCCCTCCCCATCTCTCTCTCTCTCTGAACACACGAGGTTTGTCAGCCGCAAGTATTCAAATTCAGACACTAATCGATAATGAAACTAGATACTCATTTGAGCAGGTATTGATATTAAAAAAGTCACATTAACAGGAAAGAAATTAACCTTTAGCTTTAAAATACCTGCATGAAGTTGGCCCCCGTCAAACGCAAACCTACACAAAAACTATGTCAATTGTTTGTGCTGCAAGAAGTTTCGTTTGTCAGATTATGGTGGTTAAGATATTAGCAGTTTTATTTTCAGCCAATGACGTCTTCCAGTATCCAGGCTAGTACCACTCAATTTAATTTCTCTCCAGCGACTAGATCAGGAATCAGATGGTTCCAAAAACCCCGGAAGTGCGAGTTCAGGCACCAGCCAATCAGTGAAGAGCCAAATATTCAGTGTTGTCAACGATTCCCGTAATAAAGAGAATGTTTGGTGAATTTTATCAAGGGGAAATACGTTATTGTCCTTCCTGCGGGATTTGGGAAAAGCTTAATGTACCAGTTAGCCCCGTTAAAGGTGCATTACATACGTCACGACCAAATAGCAGCGATTGGTTAAATGATAAAAAGTCCCCACCTACCGTTGAGCGAACAAATTCTAACACTGCGAGGTCAGACGATTTCTACAAAGTGAAACCGGCTGGTGAATCAGGCGAGTCATCCAGCCCCTCAAAAGTTCAGTCTTTAGTAATTTACTTTTGATTCATATTTTCTATAATAATAATAGACTTTTCCACAGCCTCAGATCATTTCTCTTCACTAGTTTTGTGGAGTTTTGCTAAAGTCGCTGCCGACTGCTGAGCAGAAATGACCTCATATCATTTCCACATAAATACTAATGAATAATTATAGAAATATATTAGCGCAAATGAAAATTGTCACAGCACAAATGAAATATAAATGTTTGGTATAATTTGCTGCTGTTTTGAGGCTATTTAACATTTTGAGGGGCTGGATGACATCAGTGGTCCAAAATAAAACTGCCAATATCTTAAGAACCAGAATCACACAAATGAAGTACAAATGACTGACTCCTTTTTGTGCTGTTAGAGCATTTTGAAGCTTCCTGGGGGCTGCTGACCCCAACCTCTAAAACAATCGTTCATATCTCCAAAACTTTCTTCAGCACAAACAAAACTTTCTTCAGCACAAACAAAGCACAAACGATTGAAGTAGTTTTTGTGTAGGTTTGCATTTGATGGGGGCCAACTTCATGCACGTTTTTAGAATGATCTTGCGCTGTATCAGAACAAATAGAAGAGCACACAGACTGGTATGTGCTCATGGACACTTGGAACCTACCTGCACCACCGAGGGTTACACACATATAAGATCACATGGAAATAATAAAGAAAGTACGAGGATTTAAAGAGGGGGTATTTTACTTCTATGGGGTATTAACTAACATATTTAGATCACCATGTTACCTTTTATTGTTTTGAACACATTTTTGTCTCCCCTCCCTTTACTCTGTGCCACATTGTTGTTGCCTGAGTGTTTTAGAATTGATTTGAAGATTTTACTCACCACTTTTAAAGCTCGTTTAGGTCTTGCGTCAAGTTACATTTCAGAACTTTTAACCCCGTTCGAGCCCTCCTCCCGCAGCCGCAGATCCTCAGACAGGTCCCTGTGTCTGTTCCAAAGTCCAGGCTCCAGATGAAGGTGATGAAGCCTTTTCAGTGCGGGAGCCTCGACTTTGGAACAACCTGCCTGACGTTATTAGGCTCACACTTCTTAAAACTCATTTTTATCAGTTGGCCTTCCTTCAACTGGTTTAAGCTTCATTTTAGTCCTTATTTATTTTTATTCTATTTCTTTTGATGTAATTATTATAATTAATTGGATTGTTTGCATCACTGTTTTTGTAAGCCTTCTGCATGCTATTTTTATACTTTCTGTTTTGTGTTTTTGTATATTTATGGAGATTTGTCGTGTGGGAGCATGGGTGATGTAGGCTTATGGGAGGGGCCTTGCACAGAACCTTACAACTAACCATAAGAAGGGTTTGAATATTGCCTGGGAGAGATCACTAAATTACTCAAACATGCATGAGTGACATCTAAAACCCTCTGATGAAGGAATAGTATATATGGTAAAAAGTTAAAAAAGAATACATAATACCCCCTCTTTAATGTTAAAATTTCACATTGTAAATAAAGAGTTTTTATCATTATTGTATTGGAATAGGTATTGAGTCTACTTGAGTTTGAAATTGTAGTACCGTAACACTAAATCACACTTACGCTGGGGCGGCTGGGCATCAAAGGGCATCATCATTTTAGGCCTGATCCCGCGGCGGCCTCCTAGAGTGGACATGCCATCCTCTGACTCGTGCCCTAAAACGTATGCTCAGTTTAAGCTCGAAAATCAGTGGGTGCAATTCATAAAACTACGTTAAATAATTAACTGATTATTAATTATATTCTGGATTTAGAATGTCTCTTTTTTTGGTAGTGCCACGTGGAGTCGCAAAGTGCCTGTAATGGTGACAATGAGAAGCATGGAACAAGACAGCACTCACACACAAAGCAGCAAACTCATAAACATGGTCTCAGTGTTTAAGGTTTGAATGTGCTTTGGAAAATCCTGCATGTTGTTTCTATTTGATCGACTCTTCAGTGGTTTTAGGGCGACCTGTCAGATCTTAGTCAGGAGTAGCTGGAGGACTGTGCATGTTTTTGGATGCTGTGTTGGCTCTTGCAGAGGGCTGGAGAGCCACATTGGACCACCTGTCTCTGCACAAATTGCCTCTGGTGCGCTCGCTCTCTCCTCCTCTCCTCCCTCTCTCCTCCCTCTCGTCTCCACACTCTCTCAGAGGTGGACCTATCATGCAGGTTTGTGTGGGACAGACTTTGAAGTGCACTGCTCTGAAGTCCTCTGTTGGGTGCTCTGAACTCTAGGAGGTGAAATACTGAAGTCTTGAAGCACTCTGATCACTTTGGTGCAGTTTGGAGAAAGCACAGTACAGTTTAGTAGTTAAGGTTTTGGTTATTAAAACAAGTGTTTGAAGTAACGGTTACTCCTGTAGTGCTTTTACAAACTTAATAATGTAGGAGTTTCTTTTAATGAAGTTCTACATCTCCCAGCGAGCAGCTGAAACAGATCGAGGAGGCAATTACATCTCCTGAATATATTGTCTTTGAAAAGAACAAGTGAATTAATATAAGATGAAGACAAAATGAAGGTTTTTTGGATTTAAATCCATCTTGTAATATATGGAGTATCACAGTCCTGCCTCATTGTTAGATCTCTAATGTGAGCCATGTGTCTCCTGTCACACTGAACCCAGAGCTCCTCAGGCCCTGCACTTACACTACTGTCAAACTCTGGACACAACCTACTCCTGTAATGTTTTCATTCTTTATGTTTATTACTTTCTACCTTTTAAATACACGCAGAAGACATCCAATATAAAGAAATACAGCAACAAAAAAAGTTAAATAACTAATATTTTTTATATTTTACATTCAGCAGCTTAAAGTATCCATGAAGTCTCCTGAAATGATTTTAACTTCACAGTTGTGCCTTGTCAAGGTCAAGAAATGCCAAAAGAGCAAACCAGGGGTCAAAGCAAAGAGTAAAGGCTATTTAAAAATAAAAATAAAAGTTTAGAGTTATGTTTATTTTATTTTTTGTTTGCTACATTCCTCATGGTTTTGATGCCTTCAGTGAGAATCTTTAATGAGAATAATCATGAAAAATGTGTCCAAACTTTAGACTGGTAGTGTATGTGTATCATACTGAACACAGAGCTCCTGTTTGTCTCCAGTACATGTTTCTCCTGTCATCTGGAACAGGGAGTCCCCGTTTGTCCCCGTTTGTCCCCGTTTGTCCCCGTTTGTCCCCGTACCTCTGTAGGAGTTGCGTCTCTGCTGCAGGTGGCTGCTCTCCAGCACACTGTCTGCAGGGGTGATGTCCTGGGACGAGCGGGGGATGGGGGTCTCAGTCATCACCGGGTTGGGCTCTGGAGACTTGTCCATGGGTTTGAGCTCCAGCCTCTCGTGGTGGATCCACAGGTCTGGGGGCTTCAGGTCTTTGGAGTTGCCCTTGTACTTGTGCGAGCCGTTGGACGACTTGGAGGCAGCGCGCTTTCTGTGGACGCACACGGAGACGGAGGAACATTTAGCCAAAGAGTTTTTAGTCCAGTTTGAGCTATATTCCATTCACTCTCCCACACGTTAACTTTAATCTCAGCTTTATTTTACCTCAGACTGACCCTACACAACTGGAACAACAGGTGAGCTGGTTTGAGCTGTTAAACAAGTCTCTCTAGTCACTCTCACCTTTTTGTGGAAAATCAAACTAATCAAGACCATGATCACAGGCTCCTGAACCTGGGCTGTTTAAATCCATAAAATCCACATTTAGTTTTGTTTTTTCAGTTTTAAAAATGTGTTATGTCTGTGTTTACTAGTGTTTGCATTGTGTAGCTGAGATTTTATTTTTTATTACATATTTTTCTAGTTTATTTTGACTTGTGCATTTACATTTATATAATTATGTCTTATTTGACACCTGTATTTTGTTCTTTTTTGCTACTTATTTAGAATTTATTATTACCATTTCTATTTTTTACTCTTTGTTATATTATATTGTAATGTGTGAGTAAGTAAAGTTTGTCTAAGTCGAAGTCTAAGACACCATGGTAACTGCTGAACATTCCCCCAATAAGAAATACATGTAGAACACTCCCAGAATGATGGTGTTAATAAAGTGTTACTTTTTGTGGTGTGAGGAGGTGCGGCGTGTGCACAGGAAGGCTCCAACGATGACCACGATGATGGTGAAGGCCCCCACAGAGATGATGACAATGACCAGCAGGTGGTTCTCATTACTGGGGACTCCTGCATCACACACGAGGACAGTCAGACAGAATAACACGTGAAGACTTCTATTTCATGTTTACAATTTAATTTTACAGTTCAAGGTCCAACGCTGTTATGTGACACCATTTCTGATTTAGGTCCTCAAACATTTGTATCTTATAACTTGATTTCTTGTTTTCTAATGACCACAGTCAAGATCTTTGTTCATTTGTGTTGACAGAGAGTGAGGTTTTAGTCATGTTATAATGTTGTTTCTTCCTCAAAAACAGACCTGGAGCTGTGTTTTGTTTCATTCACACACATCTGAGGACCACTTTATTATTAGTCTGTCTTCATCAGGGGTTCTCCAACCTTTTTCCTCCAGTGAGCTACATTTACTAAATCAAAATGCCAAAGACTTTCTAGTTTTAGGGGTCAACAGAAATGGAATATATTTAAGTGCCACAGTGAGCCTTAAATGAGGCACAGTTAGACACCTAAAAAACAACCCATCTGCACCAGCTTCAGAACAGACTTTAAAGTGGCTCTTCTTGTACAAGTCTCTCCATGACCGAGCACCAAAGTCCATCTGTGACATGTTAGTGTCATATGAACCATCTCACGCTCTAAGGAGCTCAGGGACTGACTCCTGCTGGAATCCAGAGTCACGAATAAACACTGGGAGTCAGAGCTTCAGATTCAGCTAAAACTTGGAACTGTGAACATGTGAGACAGACTCTACTGTGACTCTTTAAATCCAGACTCAAAACAGTCCTGTTCAGCTGCACATGACTGAACTCTTCTCTCTCATTTTTTATTTTATGAAGATTATTTTTGTTTTGATTTGTTTTTATTGTGATTTTAATGTATTTCTTATTCTGTGAAGCACTTTTAATGACTTTGTGTATAAATTGTACTTTAAATAAACTTGCTTTGCCTTTCCTTATCCATTAGGCATTTAATTCATCAAATTTTACTTATTCAAGACAGTATGTGTAATTCAGAAATCCCTTGGTGAGCTACTAGGAAGTGGGTGGAGGGCTACAGGTTGGTAACTCCTGGTCTCCATCTCCAAAGCTCAAAATGCTCTGTTCCACCTTGTGATATCACGAAGCAGTAGTTTTTAAGTTAACAGCTACATTTACCGTGTGTTCAGTAGAGATTGGCAATTCCAGGTCTGAAACTATCCAAATGATTCTAGTGAAGGTGTGTGAAGTTTAAAAACACAGTGGGGCACATCCTGTATTACCACATGACATCACAAGGTGGAAGATATACAGGATTTGTGTGTTAAACATGTGAATGAAACAAAACAAATCTTCAGGTAAGTTTTTGATGAGGAAACATTATAACATCAGAAAATAGTGTAATATGTGTCTTTTAAACTTCACGACAGTTTTTCCTATGGATAGGCCCAGTAATTACAGAACTATTGACCAAAAATATTATACAACTTTAAACAGCACTGCCCACCCTTTTTCACTGACAACATTTCAAAACTTTTCCATGACTTTACAGCATCTACATGTGTAGAATTGATCATAGTTTTAGGGCTAAATATGAAATGTTAACCTTTTCCACTCATTTTATGGTTTGGGATTATAGTTTTTGAACTTTAAAAATCCTGTCAGTGCATTTATTGTCGTCTCTTTTAAACAAAAGGCACAAACATTCACAAATAATCAGAATAACCTCATGAGAACTTAACAGAACGCAGTAGTTGTGTAAAAGAGACGTTAAAATTACATGACTTTTCCAAAACTTTCATTGAATTTACAAAATTTCATGACTTTTCCAGGCTTAGAAAATGACATTTTCAATTTCCATCACTTTCCAGGATTTCTATGGTCACAGGAACCCTGTTATTAGCAAATCGCAGATCAAATGCATCAAATTCTTACCTGCCTACAACAAAATTTAAGCTGAAAATTAAACAAAGTTATAACCAAAAGTCATAAATAAAAGTAAAGTTGAAAAATCTCTTACCTAGCGTAGAGTCTGGGTAGGACAGGCCGCCTCCTGGACCTGACTTGACCGGTGGATTCAAAGCTGGTGGAGAATTATTTGAAATTACTATAAAATATTACGACATCACACACATTACTGGGTTAGTGATTTTGTGGATTTGCAATGATCGGAGCATATTTCTAATGCAGTGAGGAGTTAGTGGAATTTCAGCAACTTCAGCAGAGGATGGAAATGCAGAGAGGTTGGCGGGTGTGAAGACTGAAGAGGGAAGCAGATTTTTTACCTTGGTCATTGGCCATTTTGTCAGAGGACTCGGCTGAACGGGCCAATGAGAGCGCAGCGAGAGAGACAATAAAAAGCACAACACCGGTTAGCCAAACAGTGCAGCAGAGAGGGGGTAGGAGACGAGCTAGGAGCAAGGAAAGGAGCTATCACCGTAACACGTGAGGAGGATACAAGCAAATCTACAAGCACAGTCACTCCAAAAGAAAGACTACTAAAGAAACCATTATGTCATTTTTCACTATTACTCTGTACTTGTTCCATCAGAGTGTGAATTTTAAATACAGACGAATTTTTTACTTTGAATTTTTTAACTAAAAGAGATGAGGTTTGGATGAGGCTAAATCTGACCAGTCAGATCACTTCACTGCATCATTTCCTGCTCGTTACTAAATTAGATCGAATCACTTTAGATCAGTTGCTTCGGCTTTGGCATCTTCAATCTGTACTGAGAATTTTTTCACTGAGAATTTTACAGTCAGAATTTAGATTGTTGAATTTGAGGGCTTGAAAATATTTATGCTGAATATTTAAAATGCTCTTTTTGGTTGTTGTTTTTTTCATAACTGTTTTTAAAAACTGAAAACGTACACTTTCAAATTTCATCAACTGACATTCAGAATAAAAATAATTCAAACATTAAAAAATTCAAAGTGTATTTCAAATTCAAAATCTGATGAAGCAAATTTTCTTCTGTAGAAAATCGTTGTTCACCTTTATTTACATCCATGGGTTTCAGAATGATGAAAAATAAGGACTGTTGCCAAATCAATTAACTACTATAAAATCTGAAATCTTCGAAATGGTGAAATGTACTCAATTTGTTGCAATGAAACTCATGAATAATGGTTCTAAAACTGGGCTAAAAAAAAATAGCTTTGTAAATAAGTCAGATTTTGAAGAAAAAAGATAAAAAATAAAAGTAATAAAATAAAAATGTTTCAGGTGGTATCATGTGATTTGACTGTTCTACTAGAGGAAAAAGAAGTTCTTCTTGGAGTGTAAATTATACTACAGTGATAAAGTCGCTTTTAAAATCTCTATAATTACATTGTAAACAATACAATTCAGTTTGACACTGCCAATACAATCTTGTTTTTTTACTATGTTTGCGATGAATTGAATAGTCTCTTTAGAAATGAGGAAAAACTCAAAACAAGCAAGTTCAGTCCACTTTGTACAATTAAGTCCCAAATTTCCATATAAAAAGGCGGAGGAGCGGGGCCGGGGAGCGTCCTTGCCTTGATTTGTGGGGAAGCGGCTTCATTATGAGATTTTCAAGTCAATTATCCACAAAATAAAAACGTCTGACTTCACTGTCGATCACTACGGGGATAACTTTAAAGGTGCATTGTGAAACTTTTCTGAGGGAGAGTCAGTCAAATGCTTTTCTCCATGGAGATTAAGTCTGGGTATCATTAAGAAGTTCCCGATACGATACACACCTAGATACATAGGCCACGATACGATACATATCTGGATATAGTGAGCTTTTGATTTGATATATTACAATTTGATTCGATACAGTTCAATAAAAAATAAAGTCTAAATCATGGCTGTGATAATAAAAGTCTTTGTTAAACCACTTCTTGTGCAAAGTTCATATGAAACAAACATTTGAATCCTCAAAACTGTGAACAGGTCAAGTGTGGGGATGTAATAATAACCGAAATATCATGATATCGTATCGAATTACAGGTTTTTCTGCTTAAATTCATTGTTATGGTGCAGCAATAGCTAAAAAAAAAACTGAAGGATCTACGTCGACCATGATCCTTTGCTGCGTTTCAGTGCCGACTACACAAAGAAATAACTGTTCTTAAGCATTTTTAAATCTTACTTCTTTGGGTTAAGTCTTGTGGAGGCATTTTGAAAGGAGAAAGTAGCGTATTGACAGTTTTGTTAACCTCCACAAAATATCACAATAAATATCTTATCGTGGATATCGTGAAAATATCGCACAGAGAGATTTGGATATCGTTATATCCCTAATCAAATGTGTCACATAAATGAGTTTCCTTCCACTAAACAATCAACAAAACTGTAGCTGTAAGAAAATTATTCAGTAAAATTTAGCAAAAAATACTCTTGGTGATATATCGATACAGCAGCCCGCGATATCGATACTGTATCATCACATTAAACAATATGATATATATTTTGATATTTCTGTACACTCCTAATTGTCTGGTACATTTCACAGTATGGTATTAAACTTTTTTTTTTATCTCCATAGAGATCAAAACAGACCAAGTTACAGGTCAGATCTGTAGCGAGGCAACCCCCCTCAGTCAGAATACTTTTTGTGTTTTTGTGTAGATCTGTTTAAATGTCATACTGTGGAACATTCCAGACAGAGCAATGACAACTCCAGAGAAACAAGCAGGTGACAGACTCCCAACCAAAATGTTACACAGTGCACCTTTAACTCAAAACCTAAATCTTCACTTTATGATGTAAGAAATTCTAGTATCATTTGCTATAAAGTCTTTAGTGCTTTAAGGACTGGAGTTTGCCGCTTAAGTCATTTCAACAGGAAAATGAATATTTATGACTATTAGTTTGTCATCAATAAACATGTATTCATTGTGTTATTATAATGTATTTTGGACTCATATTTAGTGAAAAAGTCCAGCAAAGAACTGCTCTAACATAAGGCTACTGTCACAGATTACGTACACAGCAAAAAATTAATGTCCACAAAAGTTAAAATGACTTGTGTTTGATTTTTGTGTGTTTTTAAGTCACCCTAATGCAATCAAAACATTTCACACAACCTAACTATTCCAGGTCACTTATAACTTCTGTAGATATTTGTATTGTTGAGTGCGTTTTAATGCAAATTCAGTTGGTTCCTACATCTCAACAACAAGCTGGTGTTTCTGGTTTTCCATTGCACCCTCTCAGCCCGCTGTAGGGGGCGCTGTGAAGACCATAAACAGACCATTAACGGGGCTACTGCACGTACATTTGGGGGTCCTGAAATGCACGGCATCGGACATGGGGCCCATCCCTTTGGAGTTGCGCGCCTGGATCTTGAAGTAGTAGGTGGTGTCCAGGGTGAGCTCCTGGATCTGGTGGGTGAGCCGGTTCCCCACCACGGGCTCGATCACCCAGTCGTGCACCTCAGCGTTCACATCCGTGCTGTAGTAGATGATGTAACCTGGACAAAGACACAGGTTAAAGATCAGTTTTTATGTTTTGGGGTGAGTTTGATTCTTAATTGCTATAAGAATCTATAATTGTAACTAGTTATGTCGAAAAAGTTTAATTTAAGGGTCCTATATTACGCAAAAGTGACTCGTGTGAGCTTTAAGACATGTTATAATGTTCAGTGTACCTCCTCAAAAACAGACCTGGAGTTGTGTTTTGTTTCATTCACACATGTTTGAGTAACTCTCTGTTCCACTTTATAATGTCATGTGGTACTTTTCAACAGCTCCTTTTACCTTTAGCTCACTGGAAATGAAAAATTCCAAGGCTGAAATAATCGAGATCACTCTATTGAAAAACACAGTGGAGTACTTGCTGTATTACCACATGATATAACATGTTTTCTGTTTGAGAGAAGAGCTCAGCCTAAATCTGCAGGGTTTCTGTATTAATAATGTGTGAATGAAACAAAACAACTCTATTAAGCAGCTCGATCTGAAATAGCTGTGGGCGGAGCTTCCTAAACATCTAAACAGTGCAATTTAAAAACAGTTAAATTTATTTTATTTATTATTCAGACAGAGCTGGCTGTAAACCTCTCTACTCATGCAGTGGAAATGTTGCAGCAACAGCAACTGCAACAGTTTGCTGCAGCAAAATTTCACTTTCCCTCAGGACTAATAAAGCACAGTATATCTCTCTTTCCTGCTCTATTACAAACATTGCTGATCCCTGACAATTTGAAATCTTGATCAAAGAAATTCAGTTCATAGCAGAGCCTTATGCCCATGCTTTAGAAAAGGTTTCTATAGACAGATTTACACATGCTCTGTCCTTTAGGCCCTGACAGTCTCACCTGTGATCTTGCCGTTGGCTTCAGATGGAGGCTGCCAGTTCACGATGATGGTCCTGGGCTTGTTCTCTTTGCTCACCACAGTCACGTCTTTGGGGGAGGAGCTGGGGGCTGAGGAAGTCACAGAGCAGGTTAGTACACAGTACTTCACACATAATACATACAGAGTATATAGTAGAGTTCATACTGGTCTCAAAGGTGGTCCCCTGCGCGGTCATGCTCCATGTGCTCATGCGTCTGCCTTTAGTCACCATGACAGAAAACTCATACAGAGTGTTGGGCTTCAGACCGGTCACGACGTGGTTCAGGCTGGTCGTGTTTGCGTTCTACAATAACACAGCACATGGGGTTAAAAGTCAGTGCAGTCACACTCATAACACTGGTTTTCCCATGTATCCGAGCACAAGATTTCTTGCCCCACAACTGATATATTGTATAAGCGGCTTGAAAGGTTAAATGAATTCCTCTGCATGCTGTATCCATCTAATTAGAAAGAGTTTTATTGTACGATAATCAGAATCAGAATGTCTTTTGTTTGTCAATTTCTTCACATGTACTAGACAAATAAAGGAACTGAAACAGGACCCACCAACCCATCTATACATTACAATCAGGAAGTCTGCATTAGAATTCTACTTGTTTTTAGCTTTACCATCGCGGCAAAACTCCACTCTGAGTTGTGAAAGTGCTTCTAAACTCTACTCCAGGATGCTCAGATTTATGAGGTAAAAGAGTGAATCATTTTGAACAACTGCTAACAATTTTAAATGGTCTAGTTCTAGTTTTTTTGTGTATGTGATCCCTCAGTCGTCCAGGTAGGTTTTGTCACTAAAAATAAATTCTGTCAACTGGACAAAAGGTTTTAGAAAATGTTTTGCCTTTTATCCAGGAGGCTTCTTCAGTTCTGACAGGGTTATTATGCAAGGGAAGAGCTAAGTATACTGAAACTAACACACCCTAGTTGTGTACAGTAAGTATCTGCTATTGATTCACAACTAAGGAAGCTGTTAAAAAAGTTCACCAGACCAAAGTTGATTTAAACTTAAAATGTCTCTCTGATCTGAATGGTCACTACTTAAACCTCAGCTCCTGCATCCGATCAATTCTGAATCCTGGAGGTTCTGAGCTTCCACATGAGGTCTGTTCATATACTGAGAATGAGGCAAACTTGGATGTGTCCCTTATCTGCAGGTGAAGTCTCTGACCACACAAGTTCAGTGATTGTAGTAGCTTCTGAAACAGTAACAGTGCAGGTAAGCCCGATAAAAACATTTGAGATTTTCCCTTCCATAACCTTACATCTCCCATACAGTACCACTGGCCCTGTGACTCCGTCTGACCCTGGGACCGCCTCAGATTATAGAGCACAGACTCACCCCGACTCCCCCGCGGTGCTCCTGTCCTGACGCTGGATCAGGAGGAGGCTGTCAAATGCAGGGCACATCCACAGTGTTCAATAATGCACCAAAGGTAAACGCACGAGGAGAGGCGCTTTAAAGAAGACATATTAGCCAACCTCTTCTTGTGTAGACTCTAGCACTGACCTGTTATGTTTTATTAATCGATAAATGATATGTAGACGTCCAATGATGGTAACAGTGACGAGTTAACAGTTGCACTCAGGAGTGAAATCAGAGATCATAATAAATCCCAAGTTTTTTGTTGAAATAGTGAAAAAGATTCAAAAAGCTGCAAAAAAACCCTGAAGTACAAACATAGTTGCAGTGTCCAAATAAGGGTTTATAGTGACATTTCTGCCGTTTTGTGGTTTATTTAGACACCAAGGTTTTTAAGGATGAGTCTAGGAAAGGTCATGGACAAATTGTATGGATAATGTAGATGAGATGCTGCATTTTTTATTTACAACTTTATGAGAGGGGAGTAATAATTATTTTCACTATATCTCAAGTTTATATCTTGCACTGACGCTAACCGAACTCTGGGAGAAGCAGTGCAGCTAAAATCAGGCAAATTCTGTAGTCTGTGTCCACCTTAAAATAAAGATTGTCCATCCATCCATTTTCTTCCGTTTATCTGGGGCCGGGTCCAATCTAAGCAGGAACTCCCAGACTTCCTTCAACCCAGACACAACCTCCAGCTCCTCAGGGGGGACCTCGAGGCATTCCCAAGCCAGCTGAGAGATATAGTCCCTCCAGCGTGTCCTGGGTCTTCCCCTGGACCTCCTCCCGCTGGGACATGCAAAGAACACTTCCCGAGGGAGGCGCCCAGGAGGCATCCGGAACAAATGCCCGAGCCACCTCAACTGGCTCCTCTCGATGTAAAGATTGTCAATCCTCATTACTGGTTGTTTTTTCTTATGCTTTTTGTTATAGTTTTATATTGTTATTTCTATGCATGTTCATAATAAACAACAACTAAATCAATCAATAGCATCTCTTAGTGTTTGTAGTGTATTGCAGCATGTCTCCCATTACAGACTCGTTCACTCTTTGCACTGCGTTAACAAGACAGAGGCGCTGTGAGGAGGAGCCCGTGGAGCCCGTGGAGCCCGTGGAGCCCGTGGAGCCCGTGGAGCCCGTGGAGCCCGTGGAGCCCGTGGAGCCCGTGGAGCCCGTGGAGCCCGTGGAGCCCGTGGAGCCCATGGAGCCCATGGAGCCCGTGGAGCTGTGTCATTAGCCTCACAGCGAGTGTCTGGTCTGAGTCTCCTCTGGTGCTCGAGGCTCCAGCTGTAAACCACGTCACCGTGAGCAGGACCATAATCACACACATATACATCCAACTGCATTTAGACTGGAGTTTAATTACACTCAAGAAGAGTAATGGCTACAGCGTCTAACATCTGCAGCACAACAGCAGAGCACTGGACGATATGTGAGCCAGTTCAAATGAGGTGACAAACTATAGCTGCTTACTTAAATAGCATCTCATTTTTAGGGTCTTTAAAGTTTTTTGGTTTTTTTTGGAATCGTAAACAACCAGTTGGGCGTAGTCCAATAATCAATAATAATTAGGTCTCCTGATGTGATTATACTTTGGGTTCTTACTCCTCCAAGCAGAAGACAAAGCAAAAATCAGATTAAATGATGATTGATGATGATAGAATGACATTTTTTACGGACAATGTACGACTAATCTACAGTATCTATTAATTCAAGGAACGTCTGTGCATTTGTCTGTTCCACGCACAACTCTCGAACCGCTCATTCGACTGATCTCAAATTCGGAGGATGTCATCCTAATGGAACGGGAGTTTGCAGTGCCAATTTTCATGTTGTTAGGACAAAAAATGCCAAAGATCTGGTACTAATAATAGCAGCGGTTTCTGTAAAGTGCGACTAAACATCTAAACTCCGCCCACAACCAGATTTCAAATAGAACAGGCTTATTCACGCTGACGTCACAAACCAGGAAGATGTTTGGAAACATGCGATTACAACTTTTTCTGGGCTCTGTTCGCAGTAGTAAGTCTGACAAAATTTAGGAAAAATTTGAAAATGTTCCAGTTTTCTTCATCTCCATGTCATTGTAGTGTTCCATTATGTTCACATCATCAACAATTCCAACCATACTTCAGTTTTCATCATTTCCCCACTGACACACAACTCCGAGCGCACTGGGTACATGGGTCAGTCGGTCAGTGAGCCCTGTGTCACGAACTACACCAGAAGTTGTCATCGCATCTTCCTGGTTTTTGTGACGCAAGCTTCAGTAATGTTAAACTGGGGAGTACTGTATTTTCCGCACTATTAGTTGCTCTGGATTATAAGACGCACTGTCATTAAATGGTCTATTTTCGAACTGTTTTCACAAATAAACCGCCCCGGACTTTAAAGGAAACCCAACAGTGTGATGGGTGAGTGGTTTTGTTTGTTTGTGGCGTTCAAGGTGACTCTGGGCTTTGTTCAGTTGTGGCGTGTAGGGAGGGTGCTGTCTGGGACCAACGGATTGTCGGCGTGTTCACAGTGACTCAGTTGTTCAGTTGTGTCTAGAAGTGGCACATTGCACTCGCTTTTTCGGTTCCTCCTCCTTCAGCGTGGAGTGATGAGTGTGTCTGTGGGTGTTTGTCTCTGTGCCGGCACTGTCTGCTCTGTGTGTGTTTGTGTGTTCTGTGGGTGGTGCGGCTTTGTAGTTTCCCGAAGTCGTGCTGGAACACCCGAGTGGATTCATGTATAGGGCGCTCTGGATTGTGGGGCGCACGGTCGTTTTTGATGGGGTTGGAGGCTAAAGAGCGCGTCTAATAGTGCGGAAAACACGGTGCCTGGAGGACTAAAGGGGACATGAGGGGGGAGGAGGTGGGGTCTGGATGAATAAGAACAGTGTGATTGGTGTTGGGTATCAACTATTTAAACTCCCCCTCTGCAGCCATGTGTTTGTATCAGAAACTCCAGACTGTTTGGTAGAGAAAAAGGTGGATTTATTTAGTTCCACTTTCATAATGCCATCTGGTCTTATACTCGACCATTCTAAAACTATCAAATTTGTTCCTGTTTGGGATTTTTTTGATTATACAAATCTGTTACCATTTAAAATATCAATTAGGCAAAACTTTTGACAAGACTGCACTGCAAAAAAGCTTGGCCAGACTTTAAGATCACTTAAATCTATCAGAAAATGGCTTAAAAGTAGTGAAATTATCTGACAAGTTCTCCTAAAATAAACAACCTCTAGACTAGAACTGAGCAGTGTCACAACTAGTAAATCGATAATCTGAACACAAGATGAATAACCTGATATAAATTTTTAAATCTTGGCCAGATCAGAGAAATTTGTTTAACAAACATGGCTGCTTTAACTAACAATAAGACACCTAAAAAATATTTTTAAAAATTAAAATTGTGTGAAAGACGCACGTTCATGGGAAACCCATTGGAAATGTTAGGACCATCGTCATGGCCATTAAAGGTGCACTATGTAACTTTTCTAGTGGGGGGTCCATCACCTGTTTGTTTCAATGGAGATGTCATTGCTCTGTCTGGAATGTTCCACAGTATGACATTAAACAGCTCTACCTTATATTTACTCAATTACAGGTGGTTTTATAGCTCAAAAACAGACATTCTGACTGTGAGAGGGGTTGCCTCTCCACAGATCTGACCTGTAACATGGTCTGGTTTGGTCTCCATGAAGATAAAAAGGTTTAATGCCATACTGTGAAACATTCCAGACAAAGCAATAACATCTCCATGGAGAAAAGCAGACTGTACCAAAAAAGTTACACAATGCAGCTTTAACAATTCCGAAACGAAATATTCTATCTTTTGAAATGGTGGCGTATAACAGGGAGGTGAAATGTACCAGCAGAGTAGAGCGAGTGTATAAAAGTCGAGTATACTGAGACCCGTACATACAGTGTGGTCTGTGGTGGATCCTGTGCACGTGTGGATCCTTCCATTGTCTTTGGCTCAGTCAGAGATTTAAGACGAGCACCATAACGAAGCCATCAGTGTTTAATTAAAGCTATAAATCGAGGAGGAGGAAGCCCCAGGTCCAGAGAGCACAGAGAGGCTGCATAAAGCATCGGAGACAGGGGCTGGACCATGGGGGGGCTCACAACCTCTGCAATGCCCAAACTACTGTCTCACTCACACAAGTTTAAGGTTCTCCAAGAAGCCGTACTTTCTAAAAAACTGAAAATACTGTGGTAAATTGCCTTTGCAAAACCTCAAAATTAAGTCAAAGCTCAACTTGTTTTGAAATGTTTAAAATTCTAAATAAACCGATCACTTGATTCATTTAAGAAAACTTTCTGGTTGGAAATCACGCAACTGCCCCTATGTCTTGTAATCTTTGTGTATTTATGTTTTCTTGTATGTATGCTTCTAATAATTTGTGTGTATACATGGAATACATTTGCTGGAAAAAAAAAAACCAAAAACACAACACCAGATGAGAAAAACCCCAAAAACATAACAAAAAAAGCAACTACGTAATAAACTGTGCCAAAACTTCTCTAACGTAACTGGACTGAATCAGAATTTAATATTTGACAGATAAAAATATAAAAATTCACCTTTATTTTGTTGGAATTATGTTTTAACTTTAAGAAAAATGTGTTTCCTGAACTTTTAGATAATTGTTCTGAATTTTAAATAGAATTCTCCTTAGTTTTCAAATTTAAATTGTGAAACTGTAATTTATATGTACAACAGGTATTATCCTACCAACTTAAGTCTACTGACCTGAAGGTAAAAAGGTAGCTGGGATGTAAGGATATCCAAATCTCTCTGCACGATACTTTCACGATATTGCATCTCACGGTACAATATTAATTACGATATTTTGCCGAGACTAAGACAACTGTGAATAATACTTTTTTCCTTTTAAATGCCCTCACAAGCCATTGGTTCTGTCATAATCCAAATAACTAACATTTAAAAGTGCTTATAACAGTTATTTCTTCATGTAGTCTGGACTGAAACAGAGCAAAGGATCATGGTCTATGTAGTTCTCTCTGCTTTATATTGCTGCACCATAATTATTCATTTAAGCAAAGAGACTTACAATTCGATATATTGTGATTGCTCATGATATTATTGAAAGATTTTTACGATACGATATCACAATATTTCAGTTATTGTTACATCCGTAGTGGCTGTTAACTTGAAAATGACCTCTTCATGACATCACAAGGTGGAGCATTTTGAGCTTTAGAGATGTACAGACTAATAATAAAGAGTTACTCTAACGTGTGAATGAAACAAAATACAACTCCAGGTCTGTTTTGATGAGGTAACAACATTCTAACATGGATAAAAGTTCCCAAGAGTCCATTTTGTGTAATATAGGACATTTAAAACCCATTTCTGTCTGCAGTGTGCTTGTGTACCTCTAGGGGTCCGTGTTCCACTGGTTGAGAAACACGGGGTCTAGACTGTATTAAGTATTCATTTGTCAGGCTCTTTTGAAGGAGCAATTGAAATTCTGAGAAGCTTTGGCTCTGTAGCGGCCTTATCTCTGTTTATTGTGCTTAAGAATTTGAATTATATTAGATTCCCTTGTGTTCCGAAACAACAAAAGAATCAATATTTCCTCCGAGCGACGCAGCTGTGGGGAAACGTCAAGATAAAATAGTAATACGACAATTCATCTGCGGCCTGGCACGCCGGTAAAGAAGAGGAGAGCCCCACAATCCTGCACACGACATGAGAAAGTGAAAGATAAAGAGAACAGACTGACTGCTTCTATCTAACTGGATCAGGGCAGTAAACAAGTTATGGAGCTGTGTGCAGAGCCAGCTGGGATATGTACAGCTTTATTTGACCGCTATAAAAATACATGGGAATTAATGAGGCATAGGCATGGAGTTTACAGGTCCTGTACTACACTAAACTGACTCTTGTGAGCTTTCAGCCATGTTAGAATGTTGTTACATCCTCAAAAACAGACCTGGAGTTGTGTTTTGGTTCATTTACACGTGTTTGAGTAATCCTGCCCGCCCCGCCTGTGCTCAGACTACAAAAGGACGAGCATACTTGTACTTTTTCATGTATTATTAATTATTTATACGCTTGGGAGTGAGAAACACAATTTTGATTCTTCACATGTTTTGTTTGAAAAATTGACAAACGTTTTAGAATTGAATTTGAATACGCAAACTCAATGTGGCATATAACGACTATTTAAGGATTCTATTGAAAAGGCCGAGATGGGAAAGTGCAAGCAACTTGTTTGTGTCAGCGGGGATCAGAACTTTTCAGGCAAACCTGCACTGTTTAATGCACAGGTTAATGACTGTGTGAGAACAGTTTTATCATGAGCCAGACTAATGGTAAACGCAGTACTACAAGTTACCAGTCTGATCTGTGGAGACACTGGTACAGCTGTTTAATGTGAATATTGTGTTGTTTGTTTGTTGTGTGTCTTTTTTAACTCTGGATCAAGAGTCTGTAATAAAAGTTTGACAATGATGATGATGATGATATTAGTCTGTCTATATCTCCAAAGATCAAAAGATTCGTTTCCATCTTGTGATATCATGAAGTGGTAGTTTTCAAGTGAACAGCTCCTTTTACCTTTAGTTCAGTAGAGATTGGAAATTCCAAGGCTGAAGTGATTCTAGTGTGGAGTTTAAAAACACAGTGGTGCACGTCCTGTATCACAAGTTGAAACAATGTTTTTTCAGTGAGAGAAGAACTCAGCAGGGTTTGTGTGTTTGTGATGAGGATGCAACATTATAACAGATCAGAAAATAATAGCATAATATGTGTCCTTTAAGATTGTGTTTTAATGGGACTTTTGGATATGAGGTAACAACACTGACAAACTCAGGATAAGGACTTCTACAATAAAGCAACTTGATGAAACTCGGACTGGTATTACCCTATCCACGTTACCATGTCCAAAGAAATCTTTTAAAAAATCTTATAATTTACTATAAATGTGTCATATTGTCACATGGACACATACTTTTGTTTAGAATTCAGAGAAACCGATGGCCAGTCAGTACCGTTATTTTTGGGCCAATATATATGGTTGATTTTGGTTATTTCCCCCAATTTATGAAATTTAAATTTACAACAAACTCACCCACAGCCTCTTTTTACCATAAACCTATAAGAGTTGTGCAGACATGAATATTGCAGTTATCTCTTTGACTAAAGTGTTAAAATAAAATCTTTGTGTTTTCTTTAAGCAGATGGTTGCCCAAAACTAAATATCAGTTTCTATTGGAGATTTAAGGCCAATACACTAAAAAGTGCAAATATCAAGCAACTGATATATCGTTAATTGTATTAGTCGACCAAATACTGTGTTTGGATACAGACGAAGTTAGCTCAAGATTTAAGAAAGAATCGTGAGTTTATTCTGCCTTTTTAAATATAAGTATACGTATGGTACTTTTCTGCATACATATGGTAGTTGATTTTGCAGTTGCAGTTGTTTGAGTGCAGTTCTGGTCAGACAGAATACACGATCGTTTTAAGAGCTTTTGCCAAGCCCCTTTTTAGTCGACTAATCAATCAGCAGCTCGTGCCCTTCATCGACCTCGTCCTGGTTTAGAGCTGTTGTAGGAATGACACAGTCCTTTCATAGACCTGATTTAGACCCCAAATATTTTCTTTGTACGTGGTGTGAAAAGTTGGAGAACCACTGAAATAGATGATTTATGGTGGACACAGTTGACATATGAGTTCCGGGTATAAATTGCTTGGCTGTTTTGTCAGTCCAGAAGGAGCCGACCTCTCCAAAAGTAATTCCTCAAACGTGTAGAGGAAACAAAAACAAAGTTCCGTATCTGATTTTTATTATCTCAATAACGTGAAAAAGTGAATTTGTTAATTTTAAAACAGTTTGCAGTCGTCCAAAAGTTCTTCCTCACTTACCTTATGCATTTAGAGCATCAAGATTATTCACCACAATGAGTTTAGAAGCACTTCTCACTTTTCACTTTCAGAGCAGAGTGAAGTTTTGCCGTCATTGTAATGCTAACAGAAACTAGCATGGCAACAGTGCATTTCCTGATTTTCTCATCTCATTTCAACCTTAAAAGCTGCTTACACAATATATATGTACACAAAATTGAGTCTTTTGAGCTTTAAGCCATGTTAGAATGTTGTTACCTCCTCTAAATCAGACCTGGAGTTTTGTTTTGTTTCATTCACATGTTTGAGTAACTCTTTATTATCAGTCTGTCTACATTACGTTTTTGAGGAGATAAAAACACTTCAACATGGTTAAAATCCCACATTTCACATAATATAGTCCCCATAAAACCCTCTCATCTCTTACCTTGACCTTGGTGTTGGCGGGGATGTTGGTCTTCCAGCGGACGGTGTAGAAGCGGATTGTCCGTGATCTTCTGGTTCTTGGGCAGGGAGTTGTCGGCCCAGCTCACTTTGATGGTGTCGTGGCTCATGACGGTGGCCTGCACACCCACGGGCGGCATCATGGGGGAGGGGTCGGGCACTGGGGTGTGTGGAGCATGGAACAGTTCATACAGGTCAACATCAGGGTCTATGGGGTCTGTACACCGGCATGCATGGTCCAAAATTAAACATGAGCAAATTAAAACGTGTCAGAGGGGAGACGGGGGGATGCCAGGAAAGACAGAGGTATTAATGAGTTACATGGAGCGAATAATGTGGAGGGAGGGAGGAGTAAAGTAAATGTGCCAAAGGGTGGGGTCGGATTGGGTAAAGGAAGGGTGAGGAGAGAAACAGAGAAAGTCTATTAGAAAAACAAGCCGCTACCAGAGCTAAGACTAACAAGTATCTAACAGGACTGCACAATATGTGACAATCTTTAAAATGTGACCATGTGATTATGTTGAATATCAGGACAGAAGAGGCAGTGGTGCAGTGGTCTAAGCATTCACCCATAGACCAGAGGGTAGCTGGTTTGATTCCAGCTTTAGCATATAGTTAATGTATTAGAATTATTCAAATTTAACAAAATTAAATACATGCACTTCTTGTTGAAATAACAAATTTTCACAGAATGTATAGAAACAGATCAAGATTTTGTATTTAATGTTTTATTTTTGTTTGGTTTTCAGGTTGAGCCGTTTACTCCCAAAGAGAAGTCATTTTGTGTCTTGGAAGCTGCTCACACACACTCACCCAAGACTGTGCAGCTTTCAATACAAAATCAAAAAACTTCACCAACTGGCAAAAAAATTTGGACTTCGTACCAAAAATATAAAGAGAAAGGTTGCTTATGGGCTAGAGGATCTGGTAGACCATCAACAACATCAGAAGAGAAGGTCGAGCAAGTTTGTGAAAAACTCTTGTGAATCCCCAAGAAGTCTGTAAGGAGAACAAGTTTAGAAACACGGATTCTTCCAGTGACAGTTTGGTGTACCAGATCCTTTAGCCCTGCATAAGCAGCCTTCCTCTTTACATTTTTGGTACCAAATCCAAATTTGTTTGACAGTTGGTGAAGTTTTGCCAGATTTTGCATTGAAAGCTGCACAGTCTTGGGTGAGTGTGTGCGAGTAGATTCCAAGATGCAAAATGACTTCTATTTGGGAATGAACGGCTCAACCTGAAAACAGAACAAACATTAAATATAAAAACTTGATCTGAGGTTATTTCAACAAGAATTGCCAAAATTATTGGCCTGTTTAATGTCTAACTTTTTGGAACACCCTTTACAATTTAAACAAAAGGCTTCTCTTAGGTCTTGCCAAAAACAAGAGTAAACTTTTTTTAATGAATGCAATAATAACTTATAAAATCACTTAACTGTAATGACAGTGAGTAAAAAAGTCAAGTGCAGTGCCCAATGACACAACAATAGTATGCACTCAGGTAAAATTTGAACTAGCTATCCTCTGGTTGGCAGGCAGACAATAAACCCTGTACACCAGTGTTGGCCATGAAAACAGCTCAATCAAAACTGCAAAAGACTGAATGAAAATAGATGAACTCATGATCATTCTTTGATTCTCATTCTTTCTTGATATGTAATCATTGTTAAGACTTTGTCAGTACATTGTGCAGCCGTAGGAAACACACTTGAACGTGACTCTACCAGCGTTGCTAAGAAACAGAAAAAACATTGGTGCTCATATAAGAAATACATGTGAGTCTACAATGTAAGCAGTAGGTCTCTTCACAATGGAAGAGGCAGCCCACGCATTCCCAGTAACAGCAGCAGCAGCAGCAGCAGCAGCAGCAGCAGAAGAGCGTGTTTATACAGTCAGAACATCTCAGCACTCAGCCATGTCCTTGGAAAGTGGAACAAAAAAGCCAACTACGCACAACACGCCGCGGACCAGCTTTTCAAGGGCTGTTGGGAAAACTTCTAACCACTTATGCATTGCTAAGTAAATAAAAAATGCACACACTGAAATAATCATGAAGTTCTTCACAACACATCTAAACAGTAACAAAGTTTTAGACAAAGCTTAGAGATAAAGAAATGACTCAAGGTCCAGGTTAGCAATGTAACAGTGTAAAGATGTTGTTTCGTTTGTTACGTTGCCTGGATTGTTTCCCTCTATGGTATTAAACCTGTTTATCTCCACGGAGACAAGCAGGTTTAGGTTAGATTAGTTTCTATTGTCCTTATAGAGAAATTAAACATAAAAACACAGGACCAGAGACCACAGACCGTCCAAACACTCCACACTCACATACCAAGATCTACAACATCAACAGTGGTGGCAGTAACCATGACAACAGAACAACACAAACGCTAAACAAATTCATCTGTCTGAAAAATGGATTGCACATTAAAGACGGGGTACTACAATTTTACTGGAGATTAACTGCTAACTCAGAACATTAGTGGTGTTTAGTTTTGTATCATGTTTTTCTATACCGTAATTTCCGGACTATTGCGTGCACCTGAATATAAGCCACATCGACTAAATTTAAAAAGAAAAAACCTGTACATATTTAGGCTGCACCTGTCTATAAGCCACAGGTGTCCAAGTTGGAGTCATCTGCTTTTATTGCCTTTTAAAGCTTTTGTAGTCTTTTTGCATTGAGTCAGCTCATCACGCTGCCATCGCCAACGTCTCACCATTGACTCACTGACGCCAAGCTCACGTGCAGCAGCTCTGTTTACTTCTTCAGTAGCCACATCAATCACCTTTAACTTAAAAGCTGCATCATCTGCATTTCTTCGTGTGTTTTCCAAGAGGAGTGTGTGTGTGTGAAGCGCAAAAAAACTGTTCAAAACACAATCAAACAAGCATCTTCCTTGGCGCATCAGGACGTCCACCTGTCTGTCTCGCTCTTGCACCTCAGTCACTTCGCACTCTACTGCGCATGTCTCCTGCAGAATGAGCCTGTGTCCCGTCTGTATCATGCCAGTGTCTTGGATGATTTCAGCAGATTTCAGACTCTCCCGGGATGGGGATAGGTGTATCGATCAGGTATGAGTGGACATCCGGCTACTGAAGTTTGAGACATTTCTTTTCCTCATTTACGCACTCACCTGCATTTATCGCATATGGGTTTAAGACATATCCCACTAATGTTCATTTAGAATCATTACTTATTTTAATCACATGGCGATAAGCTGACAATGTGCCAAACAAATACTCCATATCCATATATTCACATCGTTTATAAGCTGCAGGTTCAAAGTGTGAGAAAAAAGTAGCGACTTATAGTCTGGAAATTACTGTATATAAATGAACAAAGCTAATCCACTAGTCACTGTGTTCCAAATAGAAAGTGACCATGGGAGCACTTCTGACTTCATCATTTCCTCAATTTAATTCACACTGAAAACATTGTCACCTCTCTCTGTAACTGCTGAGGTGAACCTTCTCATTTTGGTCTTAAAATGTTAACCTGCTCTATATGATCGTGACTGGAGGTGAACACTACTGGTGATGTCACACTTCCTTCATTCCACTTCCTTCCACTTTTTTATACAGTCTAAGCTTGAGCCCCGCCAAACCTTAATACAAACCCAAAATGTAAGTCAACAATTCTGGTCTGTGCACGTGAGAGAAGGCCCATAAAGTACAATATGATGAGACGTATCCAAAATAAAAACGTAAGCTTGCCTAAACGTACTGTATATTTAGCTGAACGTGCCTCCTGTTCCATTGTGTGGCTCACGCTGAACTAAAACTGGTCCCTGTAGTACCGGCTCTGCTTCCTCTGCTTCCTCTGAGCGTCCATGAGGTTGTGGTGAGGATCTGAGGTCTGGAGTGCATGTAAAAAGTGTTTCTAAACTCAGACAGGAAGAATGCAGGCGGACACTTTACGACTCCTAAACTGTGAACGCAGACTCAACGCAGGATCGTATTCTCATTTTAAATCAAACTTCATTTTTTGCGTTACGTCAACTTGGCGTAGGTGTGTTGGAGCTTCAGTGATCTTTCCATCTCCGTGAAGATGTTATAAACTTACCTTTCATGCGCTACATAATGTACATTTAATAAGATATGATCCCTGTAAGAGTGTGTAGTACAACTTTCTGTCCTCACTGTAAACCTAAAAACTACCATAAAAGTGTGTGTATTTGGTCTGTAGTGCAGTGATGACAGACATTCACAGACCCACTCACATCCAGATTTCCCGCTTTTCACTTTGAGGTATCACAGCACTACAAACCCCATCCTCTCCCTCTTTCTCTCCCTCTGCCTCCCTCTCTCCCGCCGAGTTCACCAAGTTGTGCTCGCTCTCTCCCAAACTTACACTAATATGTAGGTCAGGCTCTCTTTGAATCCTGACAAACTGGCAGGAAGAGTACGCCACCCGGAGGACGCGGCAGGCAGCGGCGGACGGGGGGAGGAGGAGGAGGAGGGGGGAGGGGCTGTCAGGGAGCAGCGGGGGGTCCGAGCAAGCGGGGTGCGGATGTGAGCCGCGCGCTGCCGAAAACGAGGATCTGGAGGAGTTTAAAGGGTTGAATTTGAAACTTAATTTGAAAAAGTTTGACTGCTTGTTTGGATAACTTGATGAACTTCACTGGAAACTGGGCAGTTTTTCCCTGGACTGACAGATGTTTATTTAACTTTTAATTTTTTATATATCAAATAAATTGAACTGTTCTTAAGTTTTATATTGAACAGTCTGATCTGTGGGTATGCTGTTGATTCAAATGCCCCAATCTGATCAAATTCATGGTTCATGTAAATGTGGTTATTGGCACAGAAATGCAGATACCAATTTCGATGGATTTACATAACAACAAATACCCGATATCAACTGATAAATAAACTGCTTAATAAAATAAGACAAAACTGGTCCAAATGTGTTTTATAGCTCTTATTTATCTCAGGTAACCATGGAAAAACTTTCAAGAAAATAAAGTTCAAACATTCTGAGACTTCTACAACCAGTCAACAGATCTTTGGACATCGATTTGTATGTTCAACCAGAATGTCGACTGAACGATGTTTGGAAGCCAATGGACATCCAATCCAACCAATTTCTCAGTATCGGCACTGATATCTGATAGCAGTGTCACGTCGGTGCATCCCAAACAGAAATGAACCTCGCTGTATAGAGGTTATTCAATCTAAAGATTCATATATCCCAACTTGAACTCATTTTAACTCACACTTATTATCTCTTTTTTCAGTGTGGAAGAACTTCACAGACTCAGGGTGCTCTACCGACTGCCACCCCCTGCCAGCACTGAAGAGATGGGTGTCATCCAACACCCTGCCTTATAGCAAACCGGGACGAGGGATGCTGAGGCGGCGGAGGGGGGTAAGAGGGGGAGAGGGGGGCGACATGGGGGGTAAGAGAGATAGAGGGGGTAGGGGCTGTAGAAGAGGGGAGATACGGGGACCACATAGGGATGCGCGCCGGGGAGTAGTCAGCTCGTCTTCTTAGTGTCACCTAAAGTGGGTGAAGTCCCCGGTCTGAGAGGCTCTGCGCTTTAGGAGCACTCGTCAGACACACACTAAGCTACTTACAGTACAGTTATTCATAGTAAAGTGTACAGATTCTACTGCGCAGAGGGAGAGGAAGCAACTGTGTCTTTTTTTAGTTACAATGAGGTTCCTCCTCAGGTCAGGGCCTCTTGATGGTCCCAAAGAACCGCTTTAAAACACAGAGGGGCCCTTTCAGGCTGTAGACCCCAAATTATGGAACGCGTTTGCACTAGTCCTCTGTGAGGCAGACTCTATAGACTCTTTAGACAAGCTTTTGGTTGATTGTGTCTGTAATTCCTCTGTTCTTGTACATCTTGTTTATTGCACTCTGTAAAGCACTTTGTGATTTTTTTTTTTTTTATTTTTGAAAGGTGCTCTATAAACAAAGTTTTACTTACCAAATATGATATTTGATTGAGTTTTTTTTTGTCAGTTTACTGTATTGCTAACACTTTTGAGTCTCATCTTGATCCAGACTTTTCAGTTGCTTGTGCATGAATGAAAAATAAACTTGTCTTGAAAGAAGTAGAAATTTATTGACTATTGACAAGGTCAGTCACTATATAATCTATATGAATCAAAACTCACAAATCGCATAATGAATTATCCAAATTTAACCTGTACTTTAGATTCAGAAAGACTTCATTTCATGTACTAAACACTAACTAAACACTTAATTAACTTGTTTCGCTGCCTCTAGTGGCTGCTGCTTTTCAAGTACTATGTGACATCACACATGCTCACCCTGATTCTGATCACACATCTGTCTGCACTTTCACTGTGGGTGGACTTTAGGCATTTAGCCTGACTTTGAGGACTCCAGACTTGATCTTAAAGGTGCATGATCTAACTTTTCTGGAGAAGGGTCCACCACATTCTGGTCCCCAAGGGGATTTTTTTTTCTTTGACTTGAATGTGCCACAGTATAGTATTAAACTTCTCCATTCTCCAGGTCTAAAGAGACAAGTAAATTCACATAAAAATGCATGTTTATTTTGATAAATGAAAGATAAGTTTAATGCAAACAGTGGAACATTCCAGACAAAGCAGCAGCATCTCCATAAGATCCTGTAAGTAGGCCACACCAAAACATATCATTTGTTTCAGACTATAATCAGTTAGCTTTACTCATCTAATTCCATTGACAAAAGCATATTAGCCCCCCATTTCCTGAACATTTGTGCTTTCTTTGGCAGCTGTCCAAACTGTGCCTCATCGAAATCTGAAGAGAACACAAAATCATGTCCGACACCGGCGCTCTCTAGATGCAAATAGTGTGTTTAATATTTGATGAAAATGGATATTACAGACACAGGAGGCTGAGAGAGGAGATGTGAGAGCTGTGCTAACGCTTCACTATTGGACCATTTCATTTTTACTGGTTTCCATAAATGTATCAAGAAGGAAATATGCATGAAAATCCACTGGGAGCCAATTCACCCTGTCCTAAGGATACGCCTTATTATTATATTGTACTGCATTAAAGTTCACTTCATTGTCCACATAGGGAGAGTCATCCTCTGCATTTGACCCATTCTTCAATGTCCCATCTCCAGATCTTTAGCTAGTCTTGGTCAGGACTACTTCAGCTGAAAGATTCCTCCTATTACAGACAGGTTTTATCTCGTCTTTCTACAATTCTAATATATGATGGATGCCATTCCCAACACTACACAAGCAGGTCATATTACTGTGTTCGGTATGAGACCAGAGGTGGGTAGTACTTTTTACACAGTTACATTTAAATGAGCAACTTTTTGAAGACCATGTAAATGCCAGTTAGCCTGATTCATCAGCCGGTTTAAGTTCGTTTGATTTTATACAAACCGTCTGACCTCGCAGCCTTATATTATTTGCTCGACGGTACACGGGTAATTTTTATCATTCAACCCATCCCATAGGAAGAAGGGAATAACATCTTTCCCCTTGATGAAATTCACCAAAAATTCTCTTTATTACAGCTTTAAATCCTCAATCTCTGGAATCGTATGACTCATTGCTGATTGGCTGGTGCCCGAACTTGCACTTCCGGGGTTTTCACAAACAGTCTAGTGCAAGGATGGGCAAACTTTTTGACTCGTGGGCCACAGAGGGTTCTAAAATTTGACAGAAGGGCTGGAACAGGAGCAGATGGATGGAGTTTTTTGGTAATCCACCTCATAAGATAAGAAAATAACATAGGATATGTAGAAAACATTTCCCATGTTATTAAAATATCCCATAATTGAAAATCATAATAAAGCATACGACAAAATATCTGTATTTCAAGTCCCACGGTATTTACTATTTATTAAAATTACTTTTAAAACACAGAAAATTATTATTATTATTATTATAGTATGGTGGGCCAGATTAAAAAAATTAAAGGGCCGTATATGGCCCCTGGGCCGTAGTTTGCCCACCCCTGGTCTAGTGTATTCTGATTCCTGATCTAGTCTAGAGAGAAATGAAATTGAGTGGAGGCACTAGGTGGCGCCAGCCTCGCTACATGCCAGTAGTTTTCAGAGAGCATACTAGCAGTAATATATTGTACAGTGTAACAGTGCTCCTACTTGAATAAAAGTTGTGGTTCCTCTTCCCACTGTGAGTAAAACTTCAAGTGTTTTTCTGTCTATTTTTTTTAGACTACCCAGTTTTACGCAATATTTGTGGTTTTGTCCTTCCAATTACAGACACTGTATAGTAGTCGACTTACTTCAGTAATTTCTTGGATCACTACTTTGTACATACACTTGACTAATATTATTTTAAAGTAATGTTCCTCTTACTTTAGTACAATTTTAATCTGTCCACCTCTGTTCAGGATAAAACAGTAACAGTAAGTACAGTAAATGCTTGGACTGGGATCAAACCGGCAACACTCTCGTTCATGGTCAAAAGCTTAACTCATTACACCACAGCTAAAGTGGGATGTAAATAATACTGAATATACCACTGTTACAAATCTATGGACATCTACAAGCAGTCTCTCTGTTGTTTCTTCATTCAAAAAGCGTTCCAACATTATTATGCAGAAGCCTGATTCATTTTTAATAAAAGGTTTTCCACACGCTGATTAAAATTCCTAAATTCCACATGGATTGCACTACAATGACAAATGAAAGACAGAATTTTTAGAAAGTTGGCAAAATATGAAAACTGAGAAACAAAATTTGGATAATTTCTGAATTCTTTGTAACTGAGGACGCTGTATTGCCAATCTGCATCTTCCACCACAACTTCCAGCCACACACGCATTCATACATAGACAAGGTGGGTGACGTGTCCTGCCAAAGGACACAACAACACTGGTCCAAACCTGTTTCGAACCTCCAACCTCCATCACACACTATTAAAGCAAAATTCCTGAAGTTTTGAAAGACACTATAAAGAAGAGGAGAGAGATTTTCCGCCATTTTGAGTCATTTCATAACAGAAGCTCCCGTGTGTGTGTAGTCGTCATGGTCATACCTGACTGTGGCCTGGTGACGGCGCTCTCGTACACGGGGATCCCCTCTCCCACGTTGTTAAAGGCCTTCAGGGTGATGACGTAATGTGAGCTCGGGTCTGGAAAACCACACAAGTATATATTAACACAAAATATACACATTCTAAAAGAAAATTCTATTCAATATGTGTTTACAGCAGGGTCTGCGGCCTTGCTCCTCCGGTGAGCTACCTTTACAAAATGAAAATGTCAGAGGGCTACTAGTTTTGGCTGTTGCAAGAAATAGAGTAAATCTAAGAGCCATGGTGAGCCTTAGCTGGGGTACAGTTATGCCTGTAAAACATACACCATTATGCAGTTATTAGTACAAAGAGTAGGCATCACAATGAGACATTCACAGTGGAGAGAGGCATTTGATTCATCTAACTGAGCTGTTAAGTGTACATATAATTGAGAAATCCCTTAGTGAGCTGCTTGGAAAAAGGTGGAGAGTTACTGGAAGCTCTTGAGCTCCAGATTGGAAAAGCAGTTTGTTTGTTAACAAGGTTTGCTGCCCAATACTAAGTGTGTTTTTTGTCCAGTTGACTAAATATGGACAGTACCTGGACAACTGATGGAGTACACAGACCAAAAACAAATACTGTGAGTAAAATCTGTTCCTTTGGTGAAAGGAGAGTGGATAAAGTAATCCAGTTGATGTAGATTAAAAGGGCTAGAATGTCCCACATTATGGTGTTAAATGTATCTGTCCTGCACTCAAGTACAAGTCTTACTGTGACTGGACTTGTCTCTCTTCACGTATCTTGGCCTGGGGGCATCACTTGCTTGTCTCCATGGAGGTCGACATTTAGATACAAGATTGATCACATACTGTGGAACAAAGCAATAACATCTCCACGGAGACCAGCAGGAGACGAACCCTCCACTTCCCTTCCTCAACAGAATGTGCTTGTGTGGCTATAAAATATATTTGCTTACAATGTGATTTACTGTCATTGTATTGTGTGTGCACTGTGTATATCTATTATCACAGTAGTCATGTATTGCACAGGCGACTGAACCATGACCTCCTGCTGAACATGCCTGTATATTCCAACAGCAGCACAGAGAACACGGATTACACTGCAGTAACCACTGAACACACATGCACTGACTGTCCCCACAATCCTGTCCCTCCATCCACCTGTTGTGCAATATTCAATATAATGCAATGTCTTAATTGAGTGCAATAACTAAACTGTGAGCAATATTTACCACAGTGCCACAGTGCAATATCTTAACTAAGTGCAATATGTTAACTGAGTGCAATATTTAATACAATGCAGTATCTTAACTGAGTGCAATATCTGAACTGAGTGCAATACTTAATACAGCGTAATATCTTGACTGAGTGCAATATTTATTACAGTCTTGCAATAGTACTTACGTATTATTTATTTACTCTGTTCTTCTTTTGTACTGCGTTGTCAAGTGTCCCATGTGCATGTGTGCACTGGAGGGTGAGTTGTTTTAAATCTCATTGTGTATGTGTATAGTGTGGAATGTACATGTGTATAGTGACAATAAAAAGCATTCTATTGTATTCTATTCTATTCTATTCTATTAGTACAATCAACACCACTGGTCCCTCTCTGTCTCTGTCTCTCTTCCTCTCTCGCTCCCCCTCTCGCTCCCCCTCTCGCTCCCCCTCTCCACTCCTTCTCTCAGTGATTATAATTACTTGTTATAGATCTTTCACCAAACACTTTCCTCCCGCGCTCCGCTCTGGTCCTCATAATTATTTTAGCCTCTTCCTTTTTGCAAACAATGTAAATATTGACTGGTAATAATTTGTCTGAAAATCAGCAGTGAAATAGAATTGGTGGCGCTCGGTGTTCGTGTGTGTCAAACGACTCGTGAGCCCTGACTCATCACAGCGCGGAAAGAGAGCTATTACTGAACTACATTCTCCCACTAACGGAAAAAATAAAAATACAGAAATGATGTTATCTCAGAACGAGGAGGAGAATGGCGCGAGGAGGCCGGCGCAGTTGTAAGCGCTGATGAGACTTGATAAGAGCGACGCCCACTGATGTGTTTTGTTTGATAATATCAGATTAGGAGAGATCTCCCGCTAATCCTTTTAAATAAGCATGAGGAGCGAGAAACAGCGTGTGTGTTCTGGGAAGGGTCTGGGATGTCGTCTGTTGTTTTCAGTTTTACAGTGGAAAATGTAGGATGCTGGTGTCTACTGTAAACAGGAAGCAAAACAAAGTCGTGGGGGGGAATATAACAATGTAAATCATGTTTAATTAAAGTGTTTTGGAGTTTATAGTCTGTTTTTAAGATCTCAGTTCAAATCCAGTGTGGTTCCTTAACTGTGGGAGTAAGCTCAGAGTCGAGATGAGAACACAAGTATCTTAAAGTCATTTGTTGTAGTTTTTGTTTGGGCTAATACTGGAGATTGAATTAAACATCAGAGGCAGTTGAGAAAACTCACCGTAACCTTTCCAAAAAGATGGATTCTCATGAGTTTTGTGAGCTTCTTGAGAATCGGCGAACAAACCAAAACAAACATGGTAATGCCGACAAATGTACTTCGACCTATTTTAGAGCAAATATGAGTATTTTGTTAGTGGAAAAACATGCAGAGGGAAGAGCTTGGTGTATTTGTGGACAGGGACGATGTCTATTCTTACTGGATTTAACAAAAGTTTATGACCAAACAAATGCACAGATAATAGTCAGTGTTGGGGAGTAACGGATTACATGTACCAGCGTTAAGTAATCAGAGTACAATTTATGGGCAACTGTATTTGGTTACAGTTACCGTTTCAATGAGTGGTAATTGGATTACAGTTACTTTGTTGAAATAAATGGATTACAGGGCGGTATGTTCCTGTTTTCACATTTTGGGCTAAACCAGGACTAAACCAGGTCTAAACAATATGACAGTAACAGTAGGTGGACATAATTTAAGGCAGCAGTGATCTCATATAGAAAACATTTCTCCATCAATAATAATATGCTTAAGGAAAAAATGTGCTTTTTTGATTGTCTTTTAGCAGACAAACATCTTCGTCTTTGCTTCTCTACACCAAACACATGCCTGTTCATGGAGACTTGGGCTCAACAGACAAATTGAAGAAAACTTAAGAATTTTCAGGATGTGGTTGGTACATTCATGTAGTTTTAAAAAGCATGACAATATCAAGTAATCCAGAGTATTCAGATTACGTTACTCACCATAAGTAATTTAATGGATTCTGTTACAAACTACATTTTGGGGTATGTAATCTGTAATCTGTAGGGGAATACATTTTAAAAGTCACCTTCCCAACACTGTTAATAGTGAATACATTGAACACACTGTATATATTGTCAGTATAGATTAGAGTGAAGTCTCCATTGGTTTAATATTATACCAGTAGAAAGATGTAAACAAAGTGTGATTTCCATTTTAGACTTTGTTAGCTTTTGTTTACTCTTTTGTCATAATTTTGGCTATTTGAATTTCTTATTTTTTATTAAACAGAGCTGTATAGTGTATGAATGAGGATGAAGAGTGAAGAGAGACATTCAGAAAGTTAGATCTAGGTCTCTCATGTTGTTAAGGCAGGTTATACAAAACAAAACTGATATACAAGATGTCCCAAATAATGTGATATCATTTCAAAGGCTTATAATTTTGGCAGTTCTTATTAAAATAACCACAAATTTTCACAAAATGTATAGAAACAGATCAAGATTTTATATTTAATGTTTTATTTTTGTTGTGTTTTCAGGTTCAGCCGTTCACTGCGTCTTAGAATCTGCTTGCACACTCTCACCCAAGACTGTGCAGCGTGCTTTCAATGCAAAATTTGGAAAAACTTCATCAACTGGCAAACAAATTTGAACTTGGTACCAAAAATGTAAAGAGGAAGGATGATTATGCATGGCTAAAGGATCTGGTAGACCAACATCAACATCATCATTGAGCTAGACATAGTAGTTTTCAAGATAATTGCTTTTAAAATGATGTCAAAATTTTTGGGACACCCTGTATTTCCAGCTCAGTTTTCGCATTTTGGACTTTGGTTATTGGAAGCTTTAGAACTAATGACCTGCCCTTTCACCACAAAATAATATGAGAGAACCAATGAAACTAAATGAACCCACTAAACACTACAAACCATTCTTCTGAGGCTACATGTTTATAGGAAATAAGATTCATAAAGTGAACCCCTCTGTGCCCTGACAGTCCCCCAGCGGCTCGTACCCAGGTTCTCGATGGTGTAGTAGCGCTGCTTGTAGTCCACTTTGATGGTCTGGGCGTGGGGGCTGCCGATGCCGTAGCCGATGGTGTACCCGCGCACCACTATGTCCTGGTTCTCCGGCGGCGTCCAGCTCACAACGATGCTGTTCACCAGGGGGCGCACGTGCAGAGAGCTGGGCATGTCCGGCACTCGAGACTCTGTGGAGCCACACAGGACACACCATGTTTAGTAACTAACTTAGCATTTCCAGTTCACATTTTAAAACTTCATAACGTCAGTATTAAAGCTGCAATAGGTGCATTTTTCTGGTGGAAGGTCCATCATCTGCTGGTCTCCATGGAGATATAGCTTTGCCTGAAATGTTCCATCTACAATATGGCAAAAAATGTAATGTAAACAACAACAAAAAAGTAGGTGGCGCTGCATTGTTACATGCAATTCAATCAAGTTTTATGTCATATTATGGAACATTTCAAGCAAAGTCATAACATTTCCATGGAGATCAGCAGGGGGTGGACACTGCATCAGAGAAGTTACATAATGCACCTTTAAGTGTCCCATTAAGTGACCGCAAACACTGAAAGATTGAAGTAATTTCAACACTGAACCATAAGGATGAGGATAAAATGATTCAAAACCTGCGTGAAATTAGAATTTTTTTTACACACTCTTTATTTGTGTCATTTTCGCCAGAGCCAATACAGTGATCCAGTTGAATGTTAATCTGGCAAATTTTTATACCAGATGCCCTTCCACCTGCAACCAGCCAGTGATTCCAGACAGAATACGACTTGAATCATAATGGGATGTACTCACTATATCTTAACACATGATTTGAGCCAAGACCGAATGTATCAGTGCTATTAAAGTGAAAATACAATAAAGCCACTTTGAATCGTTGTACTCAGCAGTTAGCGTTCTACTTTTCACAGCCCAGTGAAACTTTGGCACAGCACATCACTAACTTAATCAATAAATTACCAGTCTCATAAAGTGGCTCCATCAGCGCAATTCAATCTCTTTTGTACAACTCGAGTGCAATTACATCTAATTAAGATTACATTTCCACATCCATCCCCTAATGAGACTCATTTAGTTTATGTATAAATTAATTAAATCTTAAACACTTGGACGCATAATTATCACACAGGCACAATTCAAAAACTCTCTTTGAAATCTTGGGAGTGCGGTGTGCAATCACTTAGCAGGGGGCCAGGGACTATTCAGACGTGTCACGATTTGCAACATTTTCTACACAACTATTCAGTTTAACAAAGAGAGAAACAACTATAAGTCCATTTGACACACAATATTTAATACTGTTTTAACATCACTTTTTAATACATATTATTTGGGTTTAATGTGATATATTATTGTAGGTGTCTTTATTTTCTGTTTCATCCACAAAAAAAATTGATTATTTTGTTTTGTTTAAAAGACAGTATAAAGGATACAACATTTATGTACTCTTTGAAGCTAGATTTCCTGAGAATTTTTGTGGTATCAGAACCAAACATTCTATAGGCTTAAACCGGGCATACACTGTGCGATTTTTGACCCTTTTTGAGACGATTTTTCACTCATGCAACTGTTTTTGGGACTTTTGGTTAAATTTGTGTCTTGCTTTGTGGAGTAAACACGGGGTAATGACAACCAATTAATACCACACAACCAGCTCTGGATTGGCAATTGTAGCTCGCAAGAATATCAAACCTGTTTGAAATCCAGTCGCCTCTCGTGAGGGTTTTACACTATTGAAGTAGTTTGTTTATTGTGAGAACATGAATCGTGAGCTGTGAACTTTTAAACCCTGTGATTTGGTCGTACAGTTGAGTTGGGCTGAGTGAAAGGATTGAAAATATCACACGGTGTATGTCTGACATTAGAGGTACATTATTTAAAGGGTAGTATGTAAGATTTTGATTTAACATTTCATAAAGATGACCCATCTGTTTGTAAGGTCTAATACGAGATAAAGATCAAATCTAATCAAATACAGCTTTTACTGATAACTGTTGCAATGGTGGTTTTTATTTGTTTTTAATTACAGTTGGACATAATTGGACACAATGGTCAAGTTGTTTATTTTATCATTTGATGTGTTGGTTCTGAAGACGATTATCCAATCAGAAAGCAGAATGAGCCTCATGAGTCTCTCATTTGAGTTGCCAGGTTCAATACTGAAACCTAAACCTAAAATATCTCTCTGATCTGAATGGTCACTTCCTAAACTCCAGCACCTGCACCAGTCATGAGTCAGTGCTAGTGCAGCCTCTGCAGCTCAGGGAGGGAATTCTGGAGGTTCTGAGCTTCACGTGAGGTCTGTCCATATACTTGGCATGAGACAAACTTGTATGTGTCCTCTATCTACAACTTAAGGCTCTGGTGACACAGGTTCAGTTGGAATTGAAAAATCATTAAGACCACAGACCACAACATAGCGTTCCTTTAAGATGAGACAAAGAAAGTACATGTGCTAGTGTCTCTGTGGATTATAATGACAGTAATCATGTCCATATATATTCTATAAGTAGTGAATGAGTGCATGTGTTTGTACCGTCCAGGTCGCTGTCAAACGTCTCAGCTGTGGTCCACTCTGTCGCGGGGCCAGTCCCGTTCACCGTCATGGCCGACACTCTGAACGAATACTCCGTCCCACGCTCCAACGCTGCAAACAAACCACAGCCACGTCAGACGAGCCCACAGCACAACACAGGCCTGGAAAACTACTGAACTATTCTTCATCTCCTCTCACTGCTGCTCCACAACCCCGCGGTCGTCTGAGGTCTCCTGCTCCAGACACAAGACTTATTCTCAAAGATTTGGTTTTCTAAGAGATGCGTAATAGTTCTGAATGGATTTTGCGGTGGGAAATCTTTACAAGCGTCAGGGGAGTGATTGAGTAGAGGAATTCTTCAGCGAACTTTTTCAGAGACGATTTTGCGGCAGTCAGTCGGATAAAAATGAACTAGTTTAAAGTGATAAAATTGGAGGGATTTGTTCCAATCTACAGCTCCGTGAGACTGAGATGTTCCACTGTGGGGGGCGCTTTGAAAAGAAGGGATCAGACACGATGGAAGACTATTATTCGTTTGGTAAAAGAGATGTTAGCCTGAATATTACAAGCCATTTAAAAAACCCTATATTAGACATTTACTAAGGCTTTTTGACCTACTTTTTGGACATCCTAGACTTAATCTTATTGCATAAATATAGAAGAACTAGTAGTAGATGTATTTTAAGCCTTGTACTGAGTATTAAAGCTCCTATAGAACACAAAATGGACTCTTGTGAGCTTTAAGTCATGTTATAATGTTCTGACCTCCTTAAAAACAGATGTGGAGTTGTGTTTTGTTTCATTCACACATGTTTGAGTAACACTTTATTATTAGTTTGTCTATATCTACAAAGCTCAAAATGCTCTGCTCCACCTTGTGACATCATGTAGTGGTAGTGAAGGTGTATGGAGTTTAAACAAAACACATCTCCAGGTCTGTTTGTGATGAAACACAGATCTGAAAAAAGCATAAAATGGGCACTTTAAGTCTTGATTTCTGAACAAACAAAAACACCTCATAAAATTACAAGTGGAAGGGTAACATTGAGGGATAATGCAGTTTAAATTAGGTTAAAAACAATAGCTGTTTGCTGCAAAGTTGAGATGAATAGGCAATTTGTGCACAGAAATGATAAAGGTGAGTCCAGAGAAGTGCATAGACTTTAAAAACATCATCTGGAGTGGTGGGAGTGTCTGGAGTGTCTTGAAACTTCCTCTTCTCTTATTAAGATGTTAGTAGTTAGTAGTACAGAGCAGTTTTTTGAGAAAGATCCTAATAATTTGAAGTGCTTTTGACAGCACCATGCCCTTTTAAGTTGATTAATCAACGCATTGGGTCTGCCTGCAGTTGACCAAGAATTCCTTTAGTCAATTATGACACTAATGGTTAAAGAGGCGGGATTACAACGTATTAACTGCTAAAACGTAACATACACTACCGGTCAAAAGTTTTAGAACACCCTAATTTTTCCTGTTATTTATTACAATTCAAGTCGTGCAAGTCCAATGAAGAGCTTGAAATGGTACAAAGTCAAAAACTGAACAGAAAGAGGTTAATAAAGAGATAAAATAACAAAACACAAGTCCAAGCTCTGCCAAAAAATTCGGGAAAAAAGAACAAGATGGTAAAACTTGAAAACATGGAGTGTCCAGCAGCAGCACAGTGTCCAGACTTAAACCCCATGGAGCTGGTTTGGGATGAACTGGACAGAAGAGTGAAGCAACCGACAAGTGCCACACATTTATGGAAAATTCTGCAACAGACTAGTGAAGAACTTTCTGAAGAATATTTGATTTCTATTGTAAAAAGAACAAGCCATGAGGAGGCAGACACTTTCATCAGTCAAAAGTTCAGAATATGTTTTGGTCAAAAGGAAACAGTAAAAGCCTGGAAAAAGTGTGCTGTTCTAAAACTTTTGACCGGTAGTGTATTTAGATCACCGTGTTAGCTTTTATTGTGTTGAAAATGTTGGGGGTCCATCACCTGCTTGTTTCTATGTCATTGCTCTGCCTGGAATGTTCCACAGTATGACATTAAGCAGCTTTCCTTTACATTTATTCAATTACAGGTTGTTTTACTGCTCAAAATCCCAAGAAAAACAGGTATTCTGACTGTAAGCAGAGTCGCCTCTCCACAGATCTGACCTGTAATTTGGCTTGGTTTGGTCTCCATGAAGATAGAAAGGTTTATTGACAGTTTTAAACATTCCAGACAAAGCAATATAACATCTCCCTGGAGAAAGGCATTCGATGAACCCTCTGCCAGAAAAGTTACAACTTTAAAATGTGTCGTCCCTCTGTTTGCTCCTTCTGCCAAATCACTCCCCCTTCAGAGCGCTATCGCAACACAATCAGCGTGCGTCCCGCTAATGAAACAAATGCACATCACATTAAATCTGCAAACCGTAAGGAAGCTTCGAATAGGCCCTCGGAAACATGCACAGATGATCTAAAACATCTTCAGGCAGGTTTTTGACGAGGAAACGACTTTATAACCCGGCAGAATGCTCCAAAAAGTCAAGTTAGCATAATGGCCCATCTTAAAACACTTCAATTTAGCCAGTTTAAGAATTCTCGAGCGCAAAAACGAAAGCCAAACTTCATTTTTCTGATAGGAGATTGGTCCAGATTTCGCAGCTCCGCGGCTGGGTCCCACTTAAGTATTCTGCGCGAGGGGAGCACCTGCTGACAAATGACATATCTCTGGCTTCATTCTGTGGGCACATTTTCATCATTGTTACACGCTCGCATTTGCACACCGCACGCTGGGCTCCTCCTCCCCCGCGGTTTGGCCCCGAGGCTCTATCCAAGTATTCTCACTCAGGGCTGTACCATTTTCATCTAAACGCCACTGAACCTATAAAAAAATCCACACACACATGCACGAACACACACACGCACAGACACGGCTCCGAAAATCATCTTTTAAGTGCGCAGTCCCTTTGATGCGGCGCACGGCATGGAGCAGCGCCACTTGAAGGATGCTATATAATATTAATCACCAGCGCGTTGGCCCAGTGGGTATTGTGCCTGTTTGGGTAAGAGCAGAGGCGGGCAGGATTGCTTGGATTAGAGAAAAATTGTACTCAGGCAAGAGTAAAAAAGTATTAACTCAGGTCAGAACAACTCAAAGGCGCACTGTGTAACTTTTTGGTTGGGAGTCCGTCACCTGCTTGTTTCTACGGACATGTCACTGATCTGCTTTGACAGTTCCACAGTATGACTTTAAACAGCTCTATCTTATATTTATGAATTTACAGACATTCTGACTGTGAGCAGGGTCGCCTCTCCACACATCTGACCTGTAACTTGATCTGGTTTCATCTCTGTGATAATAGGCTTTATTCACGCTTACATCACAAATCAGGAAGATGTTTGGAAAGATGTGATGACAACAGTTGTAAGTCTGACAAAATCTAGGACAAATGAAAAAATGTTCCAGTTTTCTTCATGTCCATGTCATTGTAGTGTTCACTTATGTTTGGCTAATCAACAATTCCAACCATACCTCAGTTTTCAACATTTCCCCACTGACGCACAACTCCGAGCTCACTGGTACATGTGATTAGAAGAGATGAGGCGCCAAATTCCAGATGATTCCAAACAGCACATACATCTGCAGTCTTCACTTTACCATTCATCACATTTACTTCAGTGGGTTTGATCACAGTCGGTCGGTGAGTCCAGTGTCAGGAACGACAATGGAAGTTGTCATCGCATGTTTCCAAACGTTAGTTGCTTGGACTCAGTCTTGTCTCTGTCTTTAAGGCGCTTGGACTCGGTCTTGTCTCTGTCTTTAAGGCGCTTGGACTCGGTCTTGTCTCTGTCTTTAAGGCGCTTGGACTCGGTCTTGTCTCTGTCTTTAAGGCGCTTGGACTCGGTCTTGTCTCAGTCTTGAAGGCACTTGGACTCGGTCTTGTCTCAGTCTCGATACTCGACGAGCAATAAAATAGAGACAGATTTACAAAAACACTGATATTATTTGTGCCAAAATAACAGCAAAATACAAATAAATGTTGATGTGGCCTCGGTCTTGCCTTGGTCTCGACCCTCAGAGGTCTTGATCTTGCCTCGGTTTCGGGACCCTGTGGTCTCGGACAGGTCTTGGTCTTGATTAGTGACTAGTCTTGACTACAACACTACCAAACATCTTCCTGGTTTGTGACATAAGCGTGAATCGAGCCTATAGAAATGTTTACTGTCATACTGTGAAACATTCCAGACCAAGAAATAACATTTCCATGGAAAAAAGCATTTAACAGTCCCTCCACCAGAAAAGTTGCGCCATGCACGTTTACAGAGTAGCCGTCATTTGATTTGTAATTTATAATTTCAAGTGAATGTAATTTGAAAGACAAAACTTTAAATTATTTTCAAATGACAGACACAAACATGAGACAAACTAAAATCATATCTGAAGGAGCACTGCAAGAACATAAAGCATTTGTCACTTGTACTTACAGTGGGAAGAGTAACCACAACCTTTACTCAAGTAAGAGTACTCTTACTTCAATAAGAATATTACTCAACTAGGAGTGAATGTATGCCACTAGAAAAGTGCTGTGAAAAGTACAATTTCTTTAAATGTAACAGAGTACTACACACTTCTGTATACGCGTGGATAGGGTTAGTGCCTTTGATTTTACAGTGTTCAGATCGCTTTACATACAGGGTAGTATGTATACAACTGGGATAGTGCACAGACATGATGTGTGTTTTAAATGTTGCAGCGAAGACAACAGTTTGGGAGATAGCAGCTCGCACAAGGATAAGAGGGAGCAGGATAGAGAAGAGTAATTCATCTGTGAGCTGTCATGAGCAGACGAGTCAGAGCAGACACTGGAGCTCAGCATTAGATACCCAGTGTTGAGAATAAACTGTCAGAGCTCACTGCATTGGAAGGAAGACAGGAAATACATTACAACTTCAAAGTGGATACTAAGTGATGGTGGTGAGGATGTCTGGTAGAACATGGTCTTTCTCTGGTGCGACTCTGACAGATGAGGACACTTTAGTTGGTAACTCTTCAGTTTACTGTCCACATCTAAGAAGTTCAGTAGCAGTAACAGACATATAGTATTTCATTAGATCTGTGAGTGTTTAAAGCACTGTATTGAACAACTGTTTAGCCATCGCACATGGAAATGGAATTCTGTCAAGTTTTTTTAGGAGTGAATGTTTCATCCAAAAGACTTGGACAGTGGCACTCACACTTGACAGAAGGTTGGGGGTTTGATCCCCAGGTTGCCTGGGCCTTTCTGTGTGATATTTTCTCCACAGAGGTCCAGGCAGAGGACAATTATTCCTACAGGTGCAATAAAGTGAACCTAAAATTGAACACAGTTTTTGTAGCATCATGTGGATGTTATTGATCATTACTTTAATTATAATTGTAATGTAATTGCACTCGACAAAAATGTGATTTATAATGAGAATATCTGAATAACCTTACATTTACACACTGAACTGACATATGTTAATGACTGCACTGTCCCATATTAAATATCACTGCTATGCTGATGATGTGCAAATCTAGCTGCCTCTTCAGACCAGCTGCTCTGTACAAGCTCTGGTGAATTGCTTAAAAGAGGTTCAGGAATCAAACTTTCTCAGTTTAAATAAGCAGAAGACAGAAATCATAGTTTTTGTTCATTCTGATATGGTGAGGAACTGACAGTGTCATAGGTCCAATTAACACCCTGAAAAAACATTTCTTGTCATTCTTTATTACAATTTTACATTTGAAAAGCAAGTAAGCTCTGTTCTTAAATCAAGTTTTTACAAGTTAAGGGTTTTAAGCAAAATCAAATTGTACATTCCACGTCTGCACTTTGAAAAGGTCATTCATACATTTGTGACCTCAAGACTTGATTACTGTAACTCTCTGTCTGCTGTATTGACCAGGCCCAGCTCAGACGCCTACAGGGTCCAGCAGCAGCTCCTTTTAACTGGAAAGAAGCAGTTCTTCAATCCCTGCATTGGCTCCCTGTACATTTTAGAATCCATTTTCAAATTGTAATGATTGTTTTTAGGAGTCTTAATGGCACCTTCCTACTTATTACTATTTATTTATTATTTATTTATTAACTCCTCCAGCCCCATGTCCCGTCCAGAGGTGTGTGCTCTGCAGACCAGCACCTCCTGCTGTCCCCAGGACCAGGCTGAGGACCAGAGGAGATGGGGCCTTCTCTGTGGTCGCTCCACGACTGTGGAACACTTTGAATTTGCACATTAGAAGTGCACAGTCACTGGAGCACTTTAAATCCTTGCTCAAAACGCACCTTTACTCTTTGGCAGAGTTAGGTAGAGACACCCTAGCACCTTGCTGTTATTATTATTTTTATTATTATAAGTCTGCTTGATTTGCTTATTGTGTGTTTTATTTCACTGTAAATGTTGTTCAGCACTTTTGCTGTTTTAAATGCGCTGTACAAATCAATTTTTACACATATTTAGGGCGGATAACATGTGCTCCCTGAGCCCCACATGTGAGTGTCCAGTTTCAGTGAGGGCTCAGGGAAGGTTCAAAGTAAAGATGGCTCTCACATGGTCTTTGCACAGTGAGTCTGTGAATGCTTCTGTATTCAGGGCATGAAATCAATCCTGACCAAATCCAGGTACTTGTGTTTTGGTTAATGATACTTTCTCACGAGCCACTTTGGCCGGCTGCATTCAAACACACTTCAGACGGCATCTACTTCTTATCCACAGAGAAGAGGGGATAAACAACACACGTGGGGAGTACTCAGGTACATTTACTCTGTTGCATTTATGCAAATACTTTTTAAAGAAACTGTCCTTTTCAGAGTACTTTTCTAACAGCATACTTCAATAAAAATATTAAATAATAACAGTACTCTTGAGTAAAAGCTGTGGTGATTTTTCCAACTGTGAGTGAGTTTAAAGTGACTAAAGCTGTATGTAACAATAGAAAATGATTTGAACATTTGTGTTTCTTGCAGCTCCTTCACATATGATTTAGTTTGTCTCATTTTTATATCTGTCCTTTGAAAACACCAGATTTGGGGCATTATTTCACATTTTGCCCTTCAAATCACATTCACTTTAAATTACAGCTACTCTTTAATTTCCTCTTGCTTGAATAGTACTTTTCTCAAATAATATTTACTCTTACTTGAGTCATTTTTTAGACTACTACTTTGTACTTCTACTTAAATTTGTTAAAGTAACATTACTCCTACTGGACTAAAATTTGTGGCTACTCTACCACCTCTGCCCGTGAGAATCTACAAGACAAAAATACAGAATTATCCCCAGACAGAACAGTTATCTGTTGGGTACAGCTAATGTGTGAGCAGTGATGAACAGGAGCAGGTAGGTCCTTACAGTCGATGAGTTTGTAGAGCTGAGTCCCTGCCGTGATGTCTGCCGTCTCACTCCTTCGGGAGCCCTTCTTGTAGCGGATCTTGTATCCTGTGATCTCTCCGTTCTGAGCCTGGGCTGGAGGAGGCTGCCAGTGCATCATGATGCTCTGAGGAGACAAACAGACACACACGGATTATTATACTAACACTGTGGGATCTGTTTACCCCAATCATATCGACAGTGCACAGTACGTTTAGGGTTTAAAGGGCACGTATATGAGCTGTACAGGAAACATATTACACCATTTTCTGATCTATGGTTACGACCATAACCCTAATGTTGTTTCCTCAGCACAAACAGACCTGGAGTTGTGTTTTGTTTCATTCACACATGTTTAACACACAAACCCTGCATTCTTATTTAGAGTTCTTCTTTCAAACCAAAAGCAGTTTGTCCACATGTGGTAATACAAGAGGTGCTCCATTGTGTTTTTAAACTCCATACACCTTCAATGGAATCATTTAGAAGATTTCAGACCTGGAATCTCTAATGAACTAATGGTGTGTTTGATTATCCATCCGACTCGGAGGTGCAAGGACGTTGCCTAACGACACACTGACACGCCCCTTTTCCTCAGACAACGGAACTCAGAAGAACTCAGAAGAGACCGAGCAAGGATTCCGAGATAGAATCCAAGATGTGCCCAGTGTCACTTTTGAGTATGAACGGTTTTCATTGTGATTGGACGCTTCGGTTTAAATAACAGTTTCAGTCACTCATGTTACTGCAGTACCTCACTGCTTCTGTATCACTGCGATACCTTACTGCGTCTGTATTACTGCGATACTGTATCTCTGCCTGTGAGTTTGGTGGAGGGTGTTGTGCGGGTCGGCGTTGTGCTGAGGCCGATATAACACAGACTGGTTTTAAACGGGTGTTGCTAAACGTCCTGAGGGTTGCTAACAGAAGATAAACAGCAATAACAGCTTTCTGGTTGACATCCACGTTTTTCTTCAAGTCAGATAAACAAAACTGGAATAGGGCGGCTAGTCCAATCATATATACGGTCTATGTGTGAAACATAATAAAACACTTGAAGTGTGGACGTGATGTCATATCTGAGAGGGAGATGGATGAATAATCAAGCACACCATAAAGGTAAAAGGAGCTGTTAACTTGAAAAATACCTCTTCATGACATCACAAGGTGGAACAGAGCATTTTTAAGCTTTGGAGATGTAGACAGATATTGCAGGGTTACTCGAACATGTATGAATGAACCAAAACACAACTCCAGGTCTGTTTCTGATGAGGCAACAACATTCTAACATGACTTAAAGCTCACAAGAGTCAATGCTGCATCATGTAGGACCTTTAAGCCATGAGCAGTTTTCTCTCATCGCCAACTTACTCAAGATTGTATTTCCATTGAGTCATGTGCGTTTGACGCCCCGTTTACTCACTTAAGTTTACTTTAAAGTCCATTGGCAATACCCCAGAAAAGCACATGGTCTAAAAGTTGCAAAGCGGTCATAACATTACAGTATATATGCAGTGTTGAGTTGTGCGTCAGTAGGGAGCGCTGCTGTTTGGAGAATATAACTCTGCCCAGTGTTCTATTGAGAAGCCAAAAGTGTGTACTGCATCTTCTCACACCTAACATGGTTTCTTCACACCTCATTCTTTACGTCTAAATGCAGATCGAATTCAGCAGGAATGTAAGAATTTCCTGGCCAGCATTGCAGCGTAAATAATCCTGTAATCCTCTAATCCTGTATTCTCCTGCATTTGAAAGTTGAGTGCTCAGAAAATGTCTGTTTTCACCCAACCACAACAAAAAAACAAAACAAAAACGTGAACGAAAATCCGCTGCTTACTACCATGGAGGAGGTTTTGCAATTTTGAACACAACGTCAATGGACTTTACATCAATACTAGAGTTTACAATGAACAAACGTAAAAGAATGATTGGCATTATGGTTAATACTAAATACCTAGATGATCTGTAAGTATTTTTTCATTTCTCCGATGCATTTTTAGTCCTGCAGATGTAACCTTGAAGCGTACTGTAGGATGAACCAGCCTGAGCAGTACAGTTAATCACAGGGGACAAGCGCGCTGAGTCTGACAGGTGACTACAGACTGAGTGACAGCACATGTAGTCTTATGTGCAAAGGTGAGCCCCCACCGAGAACACAATTACACAGAGCTATGGTGGACCGGAGCCTGCAGAGAGGAGCGGGAGGAGAGGGCAGAAATGTGCATTTAGAGACATTTACACTGCAAAACGTCTGAAATAACAACTGGAATGAAAATGAATGGAATAGACTGTTCACAAGATATCACATTTAAAGAGACTTATTCTAATATTCCGGAAGTTGCCTTAGTGTTTTTTTTGGCAATTTTGCCAAAAGGCTGGTACAGTGAAGCCCAATTTATGGTCTTGCGTCAAATTATGTGCCCCCACCACAGGGCATGCACCTTTGAAATTGTGTAACTACGCATGGAAACAATGCAGACAGCAAGGGAAATAAGGGTTGTGATTGGTCCTCTCTACCGGTCAAATGTTTTTGACCACCACACTTTTTCTAGTTTTTTACTGTTTACTGTTGGCCTGTCCACCTTTGGCAGATAGAACAGCTGAACACACTCATGGCTTGTTGTTTTTACAATAGAAATCAAATATTGTTCAGAAAGTTCTTCCCTAGTCTGTTGCAGAAGTTTCCATAAATGTGTGGCACTTGTAGGTTGCTTCACTCTTCTGTCCAGTTCATCCCAAACCAGCTCCATGGAGTTTAAGTCTGGACACTGTGCTGCTGGACACTCCAGGTTTTCAAGCTTTACCATCTTGTTCTTTTTTCCTGAGGTAGTTTTGGCAGAGTTTGAACTTGTGTTTTGTTCAAGAGGTAGTGTTTTTAACCTCTGGATGTTCAGATCTTACCTTTGTCCATTTCATCGTACTTGCAATAAAAAGCTTTTAACCCTAATTTTTCCAGTTAAAGTTTTGATCCTTTTTCCAGAGCACCCTCTACCTCAGGGGTCGGCAACCCGCGGCTCCAGAGCCGCCTGTGGCTCTTTAGCACTCCCCTAGTGGCTCCCTGGAGCTTTTTCAAAAATGAGTGAAAATGGAAAAGCAATGATTTTTGTTGTTGTTGTTTTAATCTGGTTTCTTTAGGGGTAAAACCCTCGTTCATCTCTGGTCATGGATCTGATCCATCAGCTGTGTGGGCAAATGCAAATTGCTGACCTGAATACTTCCATCATCGTCGTCAAAGCAACAGATAAACGTCGGTCACACTTTCAGCGCGTCAGCTCCTAAAACTCCGTTTATCTCAGTTTACACGCAAACGTGAAACCGGAGTTTTCCAAAATCTCCACTCTAGCCGGAGGTGAATTCTCTGTTTGCATGTAAACGATGTGAACAAACGGAGGGAAATGTCTCAGTTTTTAAAAATACCCGTGTACGTGTAAACGGGGCCTAAATGACAAAGGAATAAACACTAACCACCTGATTTCAGTGGCTGCAGACGCCGCACCGAGTATGAGAGGGTCGCAAAAGGGGTTTGTGTATCATGAATGCTCATTTTGTATTTGTAGCCGACTTAGTCATTTTAATAGTAGGCTTATGTAGCTAATATACTGACAGCCTATGTTGCCTTCATATTAGGCTTATATAAGGCTTTTCATTTTTTGCGGCTCCAGGCAGGTATGGTTTTTGTTTTTATGGGCCAGTATGGCTCTTTGAACATTTTGGGTTGCCGACCCCTGGTCTACCTGCTCCCACTGATTGGAACACCTGCAGCAAACAGCAACATTTTTGTTTTTTCTGGCAAAATTAGGGTGTTCTAAAACTTTTGACCGGTAGTGCACATCTGCTCTGCGTACATTTCCAGTTCTCCGCTTTCCCGCTTCATTTTGTAAACACGAATGCCAGTTTTAAATCCTGGCCACCTAGCATTGTCGCAGTGAACTACTTAGACCTCGACGTAGATGCATAAATAAAACACATGAAAGACAGCGACAAGGCGACGGCAACGGCTTTGAGTGGACGCAGAACTATAATTCGGCCTTAAGTGTGTTAATCTCTAACCTGGCCGCTCTGTCAGCACCGTCCCACCCGCCGCCTCAGATCACACGACACCAACCTCCTCACTCCCTTTGTCAGGATAAAACACTGGACCTTGGGGGACCATGCCTTCGCCGCCGCCGTCCCCCTCCCTCTGGAACTCACTCCCACAATCCATCAAGAACTCAGACTCACTGCAGCACTTCAGGTCACGATTCCCCCCGTTTTCTACAGTTTGTAAAGTGTCTTTGAGTGTCCAAAAAAAAGCTCTATATAAATCTGAAGTATAAGTAAACCGGTGCCGCATCTCAGTTCTCTTTCCTCGCTTCCTTCTCCTTGATTCCTCTCCTCGATCCTCCACGTTTCAGCTGTCAATCAAATGTGTCATATGAAGCGGTGTCCTGAAGAAAACCACGGAAGGAAGGAGTAAACCTGAGGGAGGCTTCAGGAGCAGACATCAGAGAAAAGAATCAAGCTTTATTGATCTCAGTGAGGAGTTTATATCCTCTCTCCTCGCTTTGCCTCCTTTGTGGGCGTGACATCCTCAAAAATTTCCTGCAGATTGAAGGAGGAGGAAGCGAGGAGAAGGAAGCGAGGAAAGAGGAATGGGAAGTGGCCAACAACAAACTTCCTCATAGCAGTTACCTTTCTTTAACCTCGATTCCAAACGATTTCTGAATCAAAAACTGTATTATTCATTTAAGATTACAGAGAATTTCAAGTACAAAAAAAAAAAAGACTCAGCAAATGTAACCAAATTAAGATTAATATCCCTAATTAAAGTCATTTCATTTGCGTACACACTGGGTTTTGCAGTGTAAAAGGAGGCGGGGCTCAGCGGGGGACAATAGTTAATTAAGACGTCCCACTGTGAGTGTATAACCCCCCCGTCACCGCACACACACGCACACACACTCACACACACTCACACACACTCACACACACTCGCATACACACACACACACACACTCCTCCTCCGTCCAGGGAATTCACACGTTCAATCTGTGTTAAGTGTTTGGCAATTATTTTCTGTTTTCTTATTAAGTCTCGGGCTCCGGTGATGCACGGCGCTTCGAAACACTTTTAATTGCACTAAAATCGACTTGTGGGAAAAGCAGAGGAGGAGGTAGAGGACATATTAAACAAACAGAACGTAGATCTAGACGAGAGAGAACATATATACAGAAATGGATTATGGAGGATTTTTTGGAATATTAGTGGACAACAGATTTTGAGTTTGGGTTTTGTGAGAGAGTAAGGAAGAGAGAGTAACAGAAAGAGAAAAGAGAGGCTGTTGGGAAGAGAGAGAGGGGGGCAGAGGGAAGGATAGAGAGAATTGGAAGAGAAGAAGGTAGTAGTAGATAGAGATGAAAGAGAGAGTAATGGAAGGAGAAATAAAGATAGCAGGGAGAGGTGACGAGCGAGCACCACAACAAAAAGTGAGAGAAAGATGTTGGGATGGAGAGAGAGACAAGAGAGAGAATAATGGAAAGAGATAAGAAGAGAGGGGGAGAGAGTGAAAAGAGAGGGAGGGAAAGAAAGAGGGAGTTAGAAAGGGAGAGAGATGGTGGGAAGGAAAGCGAGAGAAAGGGAGGGTGTTGGGGAGAGAGGGGCAGACAGTGAGGGAGAAAAGGCAGAGAGAGACAGAGGGATGGAAGAGAAGAAGGTAGAAGTAGGAGCGAGAGACAGAGAGAGAGAACAGAGAGAGAAAGTAAAGGAAAGAGAAATAAAGATAGGAGGGGCGACAACAGAGCACCACAACAAAAAATGAGAGTAAGATGTTGGGATGGAGAGAGAGGAACAAGAGAGAGAAGAGAGAGAATAATAGAAAGAGAAAAGAAGAGAGAGGGTATAGGGAGGGAGAGAAGCAGAGAGATTGAAGGGGGTATAGAGAGGAAGGAGAGAGAGAAAAGGAAAAGAAGAAGATAGTAGAGAGAGATGAAGGAGAGGAAGCAAGAGAGAGAGAGAGAGAGAGAGAGAGAGAAATGGAAAGTGAAATAAAGATAAAGGGAGAGCACCACAACAAAAAATGAGAGAAAGGGGTCACGATTGGGATGGAGAAAGAGAGACAAGAGAGAGAAAAGGGCAGTGTAAGAGAGAAAGGGAGAAGAATGGAAAGAGCAAAGAAGGAGGAGAAGGAGATGGAGGACGTTTAGAATTCTAGTTTGAGTTTAAAGAGGGGAGGAATTAACACATAATTTAACACACAATATCTTTAGATCACCATGTTATCTTTTGTTTTTGACAATCTGAATCTCCTCTATCTTTGCTCTCCACACTAAGACACTCCCCCTTCAGAGCGCTATCACACACAATCGGCGTACAACCCGCTAATGAAACTACTGCACATTGCATCAGGTTTGTCAAGTTATTGTGTACAGTTTTTCATCATGTTTTTGTATATTTACAGAGAATTGTCGTGTGGGAGCATGGGTGACGTTGAAGAGATCACTAAATTACTCAAACATGCATGGAAGACATCTAAAACCTCTTCAGGCGTGTTTTTGTTGAAGGAGCAAAGTTATAACACGGTGGAAAGCCAAAAAAAAAGAAGTGCTATGTAACTTTTCTACATCATCTACAGAGATGTTATTGCATTGCCTGGAATGTTCCACAGTATGGCATTAACCTTATCTATCACTATGAAGACACGCAGTCTACCAGGCAAGTTATGTTTTTAATGGTAATTGTTTTTGTTTTTTTTATAACAGCAGCTGCAATTTCATACATGAAAAATGAAGTGTAATGTCATATTTTGGAACTTTCAACGGACACGAACCGGTGACAAACCAGAAAAAAAGTTCTTATATTAAGCGGAATTGACTCCTGTGAGCTTTAATATTCTAATGTTGTTTAATCCTCAAAAACAGACCTGGAGTTGTGTTTTTTTTCATTCACATGTTTGAGTAACTAATTTCCAATGCTCAAAATGCTCTGCGCCACCTCATGATGTCATGAAGTGGTAGTTTAAGTTTACAGCTCCGTCTAACTTTAATTCAGAACATTCCAGAGCTGAAAAGATCCAAAAGATTCTAGTGAAGGAGTAAACACATTGGAGCATTTCCTGTATTACCACATGTGTTTTCTGTTTGTGTGTTAAAGGAAAGTTTGTGATGAGGAAACAACGTAACAGATCAGAAAATTGTGTAATATGGGCCCTTGAATGTTACGTAATGTATGAAAAAAAGGACCTTATGACGGTGAAGGGCTCTAACTACCAAACGTCGTTCCGTATGTTCGGTAATTACAGGAAAATCATTGTATTGAGGTTATGATGATAAATAAGCTTGTATTGACAAAGTGCTGAAAAGGAGCTGTAATTTCTTCATTAAACCCAGCGGCAGCGCGGCAGCCGAGGTCCTCTTGTGTGAAATTGAACAGGATTAATTACCTGATGAGAGCGTGTTTCCAAATCAACACCAACAAAATGACCCATTAAGTGTTGATTATGCGCACTAATCACATGTTTGGGTTTGGAGAAAAACAGAAGCTGGAGACGACAACACCGTTTCAGATCAAACATTTCAGTGCTGGAAGATGTGCTAAATGTGAATAATGTAAAGGTGCACTCTGGAACTTTTCAGGTGGAGGGTGTGCTACCTGCTCGTCTCCATGGACACTGCTGTGACAAAGTTGTTCCACAGTACTGCATGAAACTTAACTTTTTAACCCTTCCTGACCGACGGTATCATTTATGATACGAGGGAATATTTTTATATAACTGACCATAAAAGATAGAAACTTTTTTTAAGTAAAGCATCTTTCCGGCATTATCCTACGTCACACTCACGCTGCGTGATGATGTAGGGAAAATAAGTGTCCAATAGGAACTTTGTTTTCTGCCAAACTCATGCGCTCCATCCACTTTGATTGGTCCAAACTTTGCCAAAGAGTGTAGTGAGTCAAAATGGTTGATGCTCTGAGCATCTGTGTTTATAACAATTGAAAAAGTCGCTCTAAATGCAGATATTTCTCAAATAAATGGAAAAATTACACAGCTTGGTCTGTGTAAGAGAGAGAGAAAGAGAGAGAGAGAAGAGAGAAAGACGGGGTGAGAGGGAGAGAGAGGGGGAGGGAGACGAAGATAAAGAGGGAATGTCAGGGAAAGAGGGAGAAAGAGGACAGAGAGAGAGAGGGTGGGAGAAAGAGGGATGTGAAAGGGAAAGAGTGAGAGAGAGATGGAGGGAGGAGATGAAGAGAAAGAGGAAAGTCAGGGAAAGACAGGGAAAGAGGTAGAGAGGGAAGAGGAAGAGAGAGAAAGAGCAAAGGAGTTAGTGAGAGACAGGGGGGAAGAAAGAGGGGAAAAGGAGAAAGAGGGAGAGAGAATTAGGAAAAAGTGCTAGAGAGAAAGAAGGAAAGAGGGAGTGAGAAGGTGTGAGAAAGGGGAGAAAGAGCAAGAAAGATGGAAAGACAGTGAAAGAGGGAGAGAGGGAGAGAGAGATGGGGTGAGAGGGAGAGAGAGAGAGGGAGGGGACGAAGAGATAGAGGGAAAGCCAGGGAAAGACAGCGAGACAGGGTGGGAGAAAGAGGGCTGTGAAAGAGAAAGAGAGTGAGAAAGAGATGGAGCGGAGGGGAGGGAGAGAGATGGAGTTGAGAGAGAGAGAGAGAGTAAGAGAGAGAGAGGGAGAGAGAGAGAGGGGCTGAAGAGAAAGAGGGAAAGTCATGGAAAGACAGGGAAAGAGGGGAGAGAGAGAGAGGGAGGGGGGAAGAGCAAGAAAGAGGGAAAGAGGTAGAGAGAGGGCGAGAGAGGGGAAGAAAGAGGGAGAGAGAATGAGGAAAAGAGAGTGATAGTGATAGAGAGAGAAAGGAAGAAGGAAAGAGGGAGTGAGAAGGTGAGAGAGAAAGAGAAAGAAAGATAGGGAAAGGGGGAGAGAGGGGAAAAGGAAGAAAAAAAGAGGGATTGAGAGAAGGATAGAGAGAGAGAAAGATAGAGAGGGGAGGAGGAAGAGCAAGAAAGATGAAAGACAGGGGAAGAGGCAGAGAGAAAAAGACAGAGGGGAAGAAAGAGGAGAAGAGGGAGAGAGAGGATGGGGGAAAAGCGCTAGAGAGAGAGAGGAAGAAGGAAATAGGGAGTGAGAAGGTGTGAGAGAGAAAGAGAGGGAGGGGAGGAACACCAAGAAAGATGGAAAGACAGTGAAAGAGGTAGAGAGAGGGGGAGAGAGATGGGAAAAGGAGATAGAGGGATATATATAGAGGGAAAGAGTTTGGGAGAGAGAGATTTCATTCCGTGCACACAAACGAGAAGAAAAATCCAATCTGAGATCAAGTGATAAGGGGCAGCTCCGATATGTAAAGCTGCAGGGAGTTTGGAGCGCAGGAAGCAGCGGAGGAGAGAGGAGGTCAGGAAGTTAGTGAGAGGAGGAAAAGATGGAGAGATAAGTGCTATTGCTTTTCCAGAGTCTGTGAAGAACTGGAGAAAAGTCTTAGCCAATAACAGCACAACAATTATCTTAATCGAAGACGCTGCGCCGGATTTTTACTGTGTTAAAAAACGCACAAAACAAAAAGAGTCGATTTGAAAGAGTTTGTACAGTCCAAAGGAAGAGTTTGACACAGTTTGACATCACACACACTCTCATTTTGACCGTCATCTGTACTGGGGCGAGAACAATCTACTTCATATTTTTAAATGAGGTTTAAATGGTGGAATAAATCGTAAAGGCAGAAGGAGATTATTGTTATAAGCGAACAACTTACCTTTGAGTTCTGCACCTCCAGCGTCAGGTTCTGAGGAGGAGCACTGGGAACTGCAGAGGAAAACAAACAAGGATTTACAAGGGTGAATTCTACTTATATTATTGTATTTTTTGAGCTATAAGTCGCACTTTTTCATGGTTTGTGTGGTTCCTGCGACTTATACTCAGCTGCAGCTTATATATTAATTTCACATGTTTATTATTTTCACACTGGAGCCATGAGAGGGCGCTCTAGTCTTGTGTGTCAGTATCTGCTGCTCCTGTTCCTCCTGTACCACTGTCACTTCACTCTACTGCACATGTCTCCTGCAGAAAGAGCCTCTGTCCTGCTGCAAGTCGTGAAATATGCAGTTGAAAACAGTAATCAAGCAGCAGAAAGAAAGTTTGGCGTGAGCGAGAAACTTGAGAGGAACTGAAGAAAAGAGGAAGATACTCAAACAGCTAAAAGTTAGATTTAGCTTGAGTTGGTGGAGTTGTTCAGAAGTGACACCGAGGATGAAGAATTGAATGGATTTAGTGATTTGGAGTGAGATGGAGAGTTTGGTAAACTTGTTCTGTTGTTTATGTTATAGTTTATCTGAAGAACTGTTCATATGTGACATTAACAGTCTGTTGTTCTCTCTTCTATTGTTATTACTAGAACTTGACTTTACACATGAAATGTCAGTTTCTGGTCTCTGATTTTATAAATTAAATTTCCCCCAAAAGTGCGACTTCCTGAAGTGCATATTCTCTCATTTCTAGTTCATTTGGTGGGATAATGCTTTTTGTAAATATAAATTATAGTTTAACAACCACCCAGAAGAAATTTTGTGAAGGAAAAATACATTGAAAATTACAGGAAGTGGAGAGTTCTGTGTTATTTATTCATTTATTTATTTTAAAGAAGTGGAGAATTCTGTTTCAGCAACGTTTATTCAAGAAGCACATTTTCCTGATACTTGAGCACAACAAAATAACGGGGCTTTCTTTAATTTTATTTGTTAAATAAAAAAATGAATCCCTGTGTACATTAGAGGAGTTTGGGCCCTGTGTACTGCAGTATGTGGTTGCTAGGTAACTGTTATGGGATTTCCAAGTGTGATGCCAAGATTTCTAACCAGGAAGTAACATTTGAACACTTAAAGTGTCCATCACCTGCTCGTCTCCATGGAGGCGCTTCACCTGCAAATTTTACAATGTGCTAAAACAGTGTGTGTCTATCTCTATGGAGGCAAGCAGGAGACACCAACAGATCAAGTTACAGGTCAGATCTGTGGAGCAACGAGCCTGCTCACAGTCAGGGTGACTGATTTTATTTATGAGCAATAAAAACAGTTTTTAAGATTAAAGCCTTACTGTAGAATATTCTAAGCAAGTCAATATCTCCATAGAGACAAGTGGACTGCAACAGTGCACCAAGTGTTTGATTGTGTTATTTATTTATAACACATCATGTAGTATTTATGATATGGGTTTATGGGACTAGTCTGCTTTAAGGTTATGCAGTACTCTGTGATGTATTTACAGAATACTCAATACACAAATGAAAATATATTTTGTAATGTACTCTGTTACATGGGCCAATCAGAGTAATGTATTTGTAATACTTCAAATACTTTCACATAGAGCTGAATTATATGATAGTGAAAAACAAAACATAGTATTATAAACTTTATTTTTGTTGTTATGCATTCATTTATGTTTAATTAGAGATGAAGAATTATCCATGCATGTACACATGTATTCCTTTTTATTTAGGAAAGTAACTGCATTCTGAAAAGGGGTGAGCAAAAACATCAAAATATCAATATACCGTATCGTTTCATGTATTGTAATGTATATGTATGTATGTATTATGTATTAAGTAAATTCTGACATATCTTGGTAAATTCTTTTCTTACACTGCTGCAGTTTTGTTGCTTGTTTGAAGAAAAGAAACTCTTTGTTCAACACATTTGACATTTTCACTGTTTTAATGATTAAAATGGGGGTGTTGTGACTGGACAAGAAATATGGACATCTGTACTTTTTTACTAACAATTCTTTTATTTCTATTGCTTGTTGTAATTGACCCTGTTGAGAAGGACAAGTACAATAGAAAATTCTTTGGGATTCTGACTTTATGTGCTAGAAAAAATCTAGTAGTGAACTGGGTTTCTGACCAGCCCCTCTCTAAAACTCAACGGCTCTTGGTTTTGTTTCTCTTGATTATCTAACGTGTCGCTTCATCATGAGGACAATACTTTTAAAAAGACTTGGGAACCTTTTTTGATGCTGGACTTAAGATCTCAGCTATCATGAACAGGGTATTTACGGGTGTATCTGTGTCTAATATATTCATGTTTGTATTGTTTTTATTATCATTATGTCGTTTATTTTAATTAAACTAAAAAGCAATAAATATATATGTTAAAAAAAATGGGAATGTTTCATATTAAGTTTGCATAGGAAATGGTTTAAAAAATTATTTTACTGTCATAGCCATGATTTAGTCTTTTTTTAATTGAACTGTATCGGATCGATTTGAAAAATATCGTATCGAACTGAAAATGCACTATATTGAGATATGTATCGTATCATGACCTATGTATCGTATCGGCAACTCCTTAATGATCCCCAGGCCTAATTCTGAATACCACCAATTGAAAGTAACTGTACCAGAATACATGCAAAGTGAGTATTCTGAATAAGTATTTTGGGTTCATGTACTTAGTTACTCCCAAAACTGTACAACACATACATCGATATACAGTATAACACTTAAAATATTCTGTTTAAGGTTTTAGAAGTCACAGCTACTTCCTGTATTTTGGTAAAATGAAGAGCGAGAAAAAGCAGAGCCGTGTCTTACCATCAGACAGTGTCCTCACAGTCACGTCCTCTGTGGACACTCCTGACCCGTGCTTGTTGTTGGCCACCACTCTGAAGCTGTACTCTGTGAACTTCTTCAGACCGGTCAGCGTGTGGGACTGTCCATCCACGTCTACGTCCTGAGAGACACACACAGACAAGTTTACTCTTCACTGTCAGGAGAATGTGTCCTGAAATTTGACCTGGTTTTCTAAGCCATTGTGGGATAGGGTTGTCAAAAACTGAAAATCAGATACAAATCTATTCTAGTACACACAGATATAAGACCACTCCTCTAATCCAAAAGACAGTACTACCATTTAATGTTAAAATCACATTGTGTTGTGTCTGAGGTGTTTTTATTATCATCATGATATTGGAATTAGATTTGAGTCTATTCCTAAGTATCAAAGTAGAGTTTTATTTTTTTACTCCACCCTCATTGGACTTGGGAGGTTTTACAGCAAGGTCCAATATTACTGTAGTTTTCGGACTATAAATCACACTTTTTTCATGGTTTGGGTGGTTCTTGTGACTTACACTCAGGTGCGACTAACTCTACATATCAAAACATATAATTTCACATGTCTGTCATTTTCACACTGAGAGGGCACTCTAGTCTTGTGTGTGAGTATCTGTTGCTCCTGTTCCTCCTGTACCACTGTCACTTCACTCTACTGCACATGTCTCCTGCAGAAAGAGCCTCTGTCCTGCTGCAAGTCGTGAAATATGCAGCCAAAAACGATAATCGAGCAGCAGAAAGAAAGTTTGGAGTGAGCAAGAAACTTGAGAGGGACTGAAGAAAAACGGAGGATATTTAAACAGAAATGAAGAAAACAAAAAAAACTCATCAAGGGCTAAAAGCTAGTTTTAGCTTGAGTTGGTGGAGTTGTTCAGAAGTGACACCGAGGATGAAGAATTGAATGGATTTAGTGATTTGGAGTGAGATGGAGAGTTTGGTAAACTTGTTCTGTTCTGTTGTTTATGGTGTATTTATCTGAAGAACTGTTCATATGTGACGTTAACAGTCTGTTGTTCTCTCTTCTATTGCTTTTACTAGAACTTGACTTTACACAGGAAATGTCGGTTCCTGGTCTCTGATTTTGTAAAATAAATTTCCCCCAAAAATGCGATTTATAGTCCGGTGCGACTTATAGTCCAGAAAATATGGTAAGTAACTTGAAGTGCGTATTCTCTCATTTCTAGATAATTTGGGGGGATATACTTATGGTGCAACTTATACTCCTGAGCTATTTAATAGTCCGGAAAATATGGTACACACAATTGATTCTTGTGAGTTTTAAGTCATGTTATAATATTGGCATTTCCTCAAGAACATACTTCCACCTTGTGATGTCATGGAGTGGTAGTTTTCAAGTGAACAGAGACAGAGTTAACATTTTACCTTGAGTTCAGAAGAGATTAAACATGCAGGGTTTGTGTATGAAACAACCCAACTCCGGGTCTGTTTGTGGTGAGGTGACATCATAAGAGGAATACGGACTCTTTAACCCAGGACCTTGATGCTACGGGGCAATACTCTGAATCACAAGGGCATCTCTTTAAGCTCTGGACACATCTGATCATATCTTGTAATACTGCTGAACAGAGTAGTGTGGATTTTGTTGAGCTGTTCCACTGTGTCAGAGTAGACCTCCTTACAGCACTTAGCATTCCGAGCCCTCCTGCTGACATTTACAGAGATCTGTCAGGAAATGTGTTCGGAGCCAATCAGAGCCCTGGACTGCGATCATGTGATCAGCTTTAAAGGTCCTCTTCTATGCATTATTCAGGACTTTTTAGACACTACTTCAGGACACATAAGCGTTAACGTTTTTGGAGCAATGGTGAATCTGACCGGGCTCCCTACAGTTCAGAGGCAAATGTTTAAAGGGCCCAGATTATTTCTCTGATCTATGTTAGAATGTAGTTTCCTCATCACATAAAGACCTGCAGTTGTGTTTTGTTTTATTCACACATGTTTAACACACAAACCATGCAGATTTAGGCATATTCTTCTCTCAAATTGAAAACTATGTTGTCTCCACCTGGTGATGTCATGTGGTGATACAGGAAGTGCTCCTCTGTGTTTTTAAGATACATAAAACTTCACTAGAATCATTTTGATCATTCCAGCCCATAAATATGCAAATCTCTATTGAACTAAAGGTAGAATGTAGCTGTTAACCTAGTTGAAAACTACAGCCTCATGACATCACAAGGTGGGACAGAGCGTTTTTTAGCTTTGGAGATGTAGACAGACTAATAATAAAGGATTTCACAAACATCTAAACAACATTTTAACATGGCTTAAAACTCACAGAAGTCAACTTTGCTTGAATTTCCCTCAGAATCAATAAAGCACCTCTGTCTCACTCTCTCTCTCTCTTTGCATAATCCACTAGAACATTAACTTTGTTGTACTTTGAATACACTTAATAACATCTAACTAACTGCTAATTTACCTAAGTGGTTAATTCAATGTTAATCAGAATGTATTTAATTCTTTCCAATTAATGAACTCCTTATTACTGCTTATTAGAATGATGTTAAAGAGTAAGAGGTATTACGCAAAATCTTTTTTTTGTGCTTTCTACCATGTTCTAATGCTGTTCCTTTATTAAAACAAATTTGTGTATACTTTTGTATCATGTTTTGTATATTTATGGAGAACTGTCATGTGGAAGCATGGGTGATGTAGGCTTGTGGGTGGAGCATTGGACAGAATCTTACAGCTAAGGACGGTTTGAATAGGAGGAATCACTAAAATACTTCAACAAGCCACAGAGGCAGGAGAGGCAGAATCATGGGGCTTTTCTCTCACTGCAATAAGGCCAAACAAGTTTACCTCAGCGGCTGTGATCAGGAGGACGCGTCTGTCGTCACTATGAGATCAGACCTCAAAATATTGTTCTGCTGATCTAATAAGAGCTGCTAAATAAAACAGCAGGCATAGAACATCCTGCTGGATCAAACATGACTGATACAGATGCAGTTGTAGTAGACCAATATACAAGATACAACAACTGCAATTAACATGTTAAAACATTATTTTGTTATATGTCCATGACAGATTTTTTTGTTAAAACCATGTGCTTGGCCTGGCTTTTTGTGGAAATTCAACCTAAACTGACTTGTGTAAGAAATAATCACTGCTGGGCTGCCTCAAGTGTACGACACAACACTCAAGTCAAACACACAGTCACAACAAGTTTATTATAGTTTCAGAATATTTTGACTGAACATTAACTCATGTAGTCGTGTTCAAATAAGCGTAGGTTTAGTATGATGACATAATCCCAATCTTTAAACTGGCCATTGTTGTGTTGTCTGTAGAGTGACTGTTGTTGTGTTGTCTGTAGAGTGACTGTTGGTGTGTTGTCTGTAGAGTGACTGTTGTTGTGTTGTCTGTAGAGTGACTGTTGTTGTGTTGTCTGTAGAGTGACTGTTGTTGTGTTGTCTGTAGAGTGACTGTTGGTGTGTTGTCTGTAGAGTGACTGTTGTTGTGTTGTCTGTAGAGTGACTGTTGGTGTGTTGTCTGTAGAGTGACTGTTGTTGTGTTGTCTGTAGAGTGACTGTTGGTGTGTTGTCTGTAGAGTGACTGTTGTTGTGTTGTCTGTAGAGTGCCTGTTGTGTACCTGCTCGGAGCCGCCGCTGCCGTCGCTGTAGTACACTCTGTAGTTGAGGATGTCTCCGTTGCCGGTGAGAGGTTTGTCCCAGCTCAGAGTGACAGAGGAGGGGGAGTTGGACACGGCCTGCAGGTTTGGAGCAGGACCAGGCACTTGGACTGGAGGAAGAGGAAAAAAAGACATTGTAACTTGGGACAATATTAGTTAACAGAAAATTATTGAAGAACATAAATGATGAAATCATCACCAAAGCTTTCATCTGGACACTTGTGCAGCCCATAGAACTAAGACTGGTATGATAAAGCAACATTGAGGTATACTTTAAATCCATGTAGTACACCTTTGGTACCACTTACACTGTGATTCTGCAGCTAAAGCCTTACTCTTTGTCCTGAGCACCTGAGCAGGTGGTGTTGGACTGACCACACACACACTCCCTGTGTGCAGGTGCACGGGGGGACAGGGGGACAGGTGTGGTCAGTCTGTCCCCACAGCAGCAGAGCTCACACAGAAACACACTGGTCCACACTAACCCGCACTTTAAGGCATCAGGGCAGAGACACGCACAGACAATTTTAGGACCAGGTGCTCAACCAAGAATACAAGAGCATTTTTCAATCATGATGGAAAGATTTATGGAAAGAAAATATGACTTTGCTTCTTGAGACATTCGTTTTAGAGGTTCTCCTGCTGAGCTTTAGCAGCAGAGCTTTGTGCATATGTGAATATGAGCTGAGGGGTTTGGGACTGTGAACAACAGAACAGAAATGAGAGACAGAGCAAAGGAGCATGTTGGGGGAGAGAGGGGGGGCTCCTTCTTTGCTGTGCAAAAATATACAAGTGCTATTGAATGTCATCCACTCTCTTGTTAATAACACCATGAATAAGAGGCTGGCTGCCAAAAAATAAAAACAGGCTAAAAGCTCAGGTGGTGCAGAACATCAGATATGTTTCAACATGTGGCCTTTGGTGAAAAAAGCTTTTCCTCATTTATGAGATTCATGTGTTTACATTGCACATGTCCATAAAATGTTAGCAAATGCACGTGATTCTTGTATTAGATTAGCAGGTGGGATTTCAGTCTTCTCCCATATTATCCTAGACATATAAGCATGTGTTTTTAATATGCACTGGGAACTGAAGTTTGATTCAAAAAACAACCAATTCCAAACCAGCATGCAAACACGACCATCCCCACTGATACTGTGTGTGTGTGAAGAGTGTGCCCTCTGATCAAGGACACATGTGGAGACCTAGAGGACGTGGAGTGGCCTAGGGAGGATGTGTGGAGTGTCCTACATAGTGACAGTGATGGAGCACTATGAGGCCAGACAGAGCAGGGAGATCCCTGCAGTTTAAACGCACTTTCCATGAGAGCGGCAGACAGCAGGCCTCCCTCTTCATGTAAACAAAAGAGATGCTAAAACAGCACTGTTGTCCTGCTCGTGTGTGTGTCCTTGAGTTTAAACAGCTAATGAGATGCTCTAAATCATCAGAACAAAGAGAGGGGACAGAAATGGGGCACAATCAGGCCTGGTTAGTGGGGCGGGGCAGTCTGAGGAGGCACGGGTGGAAATGAATGGAAAACGTTTAATTTTGTCTCATTTTGTTCCTGAAAATTAAGACGACAGGTGGAGGTTTGGAGTAAGTAGGAGGGGTTATTAGGCTTTTAGTCTGCACTCTTCTCCCTCATTTAATCTCTCTCTTTTTTAATTTTATGATGATGATTTACGTTTTGATTTGTTTGTATTGTGTTTTGAATGTATTTCTTATTCTGTAAGGCACTTTGAATTAATTTGTGTATGAATTGTGCTGTACAAATAAACCTTGCCTTACTCAATGAATAAAGAACCCCCAAATACACTTTGAACAACACCAAGGATACATCATAAAATACTTGAATTTGAAGTACAGCACTTGAATGGGAGAACTTTGGGAGTACCTGGTACCACAGTGGAACAGCAGAGGCATGAAAGTGGTCTATGTGTGATATATAAGACTATAAGACTAACACATTGTGCATTATCATTATTATTATTATTGTGTAACTTCATTGGTAGTGTGTGTGTGTCTGTGTGTCTGTGTGTCTGTGTGTGTGTGTGTCTGTGTGTGTGCCACCTCGTCTCCATGGAAATGTTAACGCTTTATTTACTTTCTTTGATAAATTAGATCAAGATGAGCTCAGGGCTGGACTGCTTTGCTAAAGAGCACTATGTCCAGCTTGTTTTAGACCACATCCTGGGTCTTGGCTCTGGTTGCTATGGCTACAAAAAACACAGTTCAAACTGCCCCACCCACACAGTACCCCCCAAGTGGAAAAACAGCAGTGTGCGTCCAAGCAGCCTGAGAGTGAATGTGTACAGTGTGCAGTGATGCAGGTGGTCTGTGCTCTCCACAGGCTCGTCTCTGTGGCAGCTCCATGTGTTTATGTCAGAACATGTTAGTAATGCAGATCACAGCACGTCCCGGCAGCACGGGCACTTTGGATGTTTACATCTTGGAAAGTTTGAATTATATTCTATGTATAGGTTTAAAAGCTTACGTAAAACTCTGTGCTCCAAGTTAGAGAAACTATAGACTCTTTAAATGGCTCTTGTGTTCTACTCAAAAAAATCTGGAATGGTTAATAATGTGTTCACTTTTTAGATTTTGAGATCACCATCAGATATTGGGCAGGAGCCTCTGTGGGAGATTCAGTGTTTTTGTAAGAAATATCTTTGAGAACCAGAACATATATACACTGATAATCTGTGTTAGGATAGATTATTACTGCATTATTTATATATTTGAAACAGTATGATATTAAAGGTGCACTGTGTAACTTTTCTGGAAAGGCTCCTCAACCTTGTCTCCATGGAGATCTTAAAGCTTTGGTTTACATTGTCAACAGTGGCCACGTTTACATGATGTTTTTTTTTTTTTATTACGAATTAATTGTTCTGAATTCAAATATTCTCCTTCGAGTTTACATGGAAATAATAATTCTGAATTGAGGTTTACATGGAAAACATGTTAAACTGCCTGTATTTAAGTCCTCTCAGCGTCTGGGGGTGGAGAAGTGTTCTGATTGGACAGGGACACCAACGTATTTACGTCATCTCAGTTTGTCGTTATGCCACAGACACAAACATGATCCAAACTATTTCCGCAGTCGTTCTGATAATAATTGTGCAGCAGCTGGAGAATTGTCTCATCACACTTTACGTCTGTGAGCTGAGGAGGAGAAGGGAAGAGTGTCGGAGAAGGAGGAAGAAGATAAACTGAGTGTGAGGCTGCTCTACCTCAGCCCACTCCCACATCCCGCTCACAAATCCAAAGAGACGTGGAGGAAAGTCCCAAGCCAGGACTGGTGGAGCTGGATAATCAGGATCACGTCAGAAGGGCGACACAACGAGCATGCACAGAACCACCGACCACCGTATTTTTATGAAGAATAAACTTTTACATGATCGAAGAAAAAATTAATTTGGTTTAAAACCGGAATAAACTAACCACTTACTTCGGAATTAAGTTCAGAATTCTGAATAATCATTTTCATTAAGAATTAAGTGTGTAAATGGTCTTTTAAAAGCGGAATTCATTTTTATTAAGGATTAAATTATTTTTATTCGGAATTAAAGCGCTCATGTAAACGTGGCAATTGTGATATTAAACCAATCTGTCTTGCATTTATTTAACTACAAGTTGTTCACTGCTCAAAAAATATAAAAAATATATGTAATTTGGGCATAGTGTGGAACATTCTAGGCACATCTCCATGGAGACAAGCAGGTGACTAACCTTCCACTGCATAAAGTACACAGAACAAAACTAAAGCTAGAAATCAGCTGTAAGTCAAATGCTTTTTTCTCCATGGAGATGTTATTTCTTTGTCTAGAATGTTTCACAGTATGGCATTAAACCTTTATATCTTCATGGAGATCAAACCAGATCAAGTTATAGGTCAGATCTATGGAAAGGTGACCTTGTTTACAATCAGAATGTTGTTTTTCTAGGTGTTTTTGAGCTATAAAACCACCTGTAATTGAAAAAACATAAGGTAGAGCTGTTTAATGTCATACTGTGGAACATTCCAGACAGAGCAATGACATCTCCATAGAAACAAGCAGGTGACGGACCCCCAACCAGAAGTTACACAGTGCACCTTTATTAAGTGACCATAAACAAATCAGAGTTCTGCCATGTTTTAGACAGAAATTCCTTGGTAAATCTTGCGTGTCCTAACCTCGTGTGTTCTATCAAGTGTGTACTCTTTTGCTCTACTTGTAAAGAGGAAATCCTTTGTCCTTCCTCTGAGGTGCCAGTATTGTCCAGATGCCCTACCTTCAGCTTGGGTGGCCACCTTGAGCGCGGCGCTGCTCTCCCCGGGCCCGTGCATGTTGTGTCCCACCACCCTGAAGCGGTACTTGGTGTCGGGCAGCAGGCTCTGGATGGTCACCTGCAGCTCCCCGGGGCGACTGCAGTTCACCACTCGCTCCCTAGAGGGCGCACACACACAAAAGAAGGTCAGAGTCTGGAGTCTATTTAAAATCATCTATCAACTGAACAAGAGTGATTACAGAACTTAACTAGGTCTGTAAAGCGGCTATACTAAAGCGGCACTATTTTCTGAGCTGTTATGTTTTGTCCTCATCACAAACAGACCTGGAGTTGTGTTTTGTTTCATTCATACATTTTCAGTACACAAATCCTGTGTATTTAGACTGAGCTCTTTTCTCAAACTGATTCATTTATTTGGGTCGCAGGTTTATTCTGACATTATTCCACATATTTAACACACACAGACTGAAAAGGTGTTTGCTGAAGCTTGAGCTTTTTCTGCCTTTATCCTTTATTCCTTTTTCATAGCACCAATTCATCTTCATAAATACCGGTACAGTGAGAAGAAACAAACAAATCAATAATATACTAAGTACTAAAGCACAAACTAAACATCATAATTCATACATCTGCCATAAACTTCTTTATAAAATGGAACAGAGGTGCACAGTTTTAGGTTTTCTGTACAGTTCTTTCAGAGCTCCACCTCTCTAACAGATACACAAAATTTCATGTTTGTTCTGATTTTGTTTTTGATAAACGTGGCTGTACCACTGAGCTCAGATTGCCTATTTCAGATTTTGAACATGTTCTCTAATGATTTTGACAAGAGATTGTTGTTTACTTTGAACATGATTTTCAAAAAGTAAAGGTCGACTAAATCGCAAAATGTCAGAGTTTGATGGTTTATAAATAAAACATTGGTTGGTTCATTATAAGTTGATAATGTGATGCTTTTATTGCCTTTTTTGCAGGTAAAGTTTGGATTTGTGTTGGTCTTACATGCATTGCCCCAAATCTCAATATAATAGGTTATGTAGGGCATTCATTTAGGATCAATCTATATTTATGTATTAGGGATGTAACAATAACCAAAATACCGTGATATTGTATCATCAAAAGTTGACGGGCATCTCAATATATCGAAATTAATAGTTATGTGTACTATAGCTAAAAAAAAAAACTTAGCGAGAACTACATAGACCATGATCCTCTGCTCTGTTTCAATGCAAACTACAACTATGAAGAAATAAGTGTTAATAAGCACTTTTTAATCTTAATTCTTCGGAATATGGCAGAACCAAAGTCAATGCTTTTAAAAAATATCCAGTTAAGCCTCTATAAAATATTGCAATAAATATCGTACCCTGAGACACATGTTGAGAAAATATCGTACCGAGAGATTTGGATATCATTACATCACTAATATTTACATAGAATTGCTGTTACATTGGATAATTTATTTATAATTTTATGTATATGTGATTTCCAGTTTGCTGAAAACTAAAACACTCTGTTCATTCTTGTGATGTCATCAAATGGTATATAGGAAATGCTCCACTGTGTTTTTAGAATCATTTGGATCATGTCAGCCCAGGATATGGCAAATTTAGAACAGTTTTAGTCTCATTAAAACGGCTTCACTCAGACTTTCTACGGACATTCAGCTGCACAAAAGCAAAAATATTCAAAAGATAAAACCAATTTACAGTGATTTTCTTGAGTACTGAAAAAAAAAAGCTAAAATAAAGCAGGCTAAAAATAACTTCACTTTAAAACTACCACTTGACATCACAACACGAAAGAGCATTTTGATCTTTGGGGATACAGATATAAAAATACAGGATTACTCAAACACGTGTGAATGAAACACAACTCCAGGTCTGTTTTTAATCCATGTATCATATGTTTTTCAAAATAAAACCAAAAATAAGAAAACGAAAAAAGTATTTTCTTCATTATTTGTCTCCAAAACCAAAATGAAAAAACAGATAGCGATTCTTTTTTTCAGTTTTCGATTTTGTGTTTAAATGAAAATAAAATGAAAAAAATCCATGACTTAAACTGCAATGCCAGACTAAACCATGATTAAACCAGGACTAAACCGGTCTCAGTCCCGGTCTCAGTCCCGGTCTCAGTCCCGGTCTCAGTCCCGGTCTCAGTCCCGGTCTCAGTCCCGGTCTCAGTCCCGGTCTCAGTCCCGGTCTCAGTCCCGGTCTCAGTCCTAATCAACCGACAATCTATGTGGATGCACCTCTCAGTTCAGTCTTGGCCTAGTCCTGTTTTAGTTCAGTTCTGGTTCAATCCTGGGATCAGTCCTGGTTCAGTCCCGGTTTAGACCTGGTCTAGTCGTGGTCTAGTCCGTATGCAGCGAAAAGTCGTGCTTCACAGTTTAAGTCACAGAAACGGGAAACTCATTTTCATTTTGGTTTTGGAGACAAATAATGAAGAAATTTTGAAAAACGAATGACACACAGACTGTTTTTGAAGAGGTACCAGCATTGTAACATGGCTAAACGCTCACATGAGCCTGTTTTGTGTAATTTAAAGACCTTTAAACTAGATTGTCATGGATTAAGTCAGTGCATTAATATCCCGTTTTAATACAACACCATTTAACAGACTACACAAGTCAGCATACTTTACTCAACGCTAATAAAACACAAGATCAGGGTTTGTTAATGGTTCCAAACTTCCCCCGTGAGTTATTTTCGGTTTAATGACAGATTACAGTTCGCAAACTAGAGCTTGCACGTAGCCCGCTGCGAACAGGGGAAACTGGGGCATTAACTGTGCTAATTTACTTGGTAATTATGTTAAGTGCGAACCCCCCACCACTCGGAAATGTTGCAAAACAATGTGACCGCAGTTAAAGCATGAGGCCTGAGCTAAACTTATCCAAACTATCGGGAGGTATTCGAGATCAGAAAGCCAAGTTAAGGTAAGGCGTAGATAAAAGGACGTTTAAGACGCGATCACAAATGCAAATCTTGTCTTTCACATGTGGGGCCCATTTAGCGGCTAATTACCTGTGCAGCGGCTAATTGTCAGATGATTTATAGCGTCATGTGGTGTGTCCTTTTTGTGATCGCAGGACCACACACAGAGAGCACACTGAGCACACTCCTGCCACTTTTAGGGCTGGCAGAAATACGGAAAATCAGATACTAATCGATACTAAAACTATAATCAACACTAGATACTTGTTTGAGCAAGCATCGATACTAAAAAGTCATATTGACAGGACAGAAATGAAACTTTCCTGAACCTTTAGAATGATTTTGAGCTGTATCAAAACAAGTATGAGAGCACATAGACTAGTATACACCCATGGACCTGGTTTAGACCTGGTTTAGACCTGGTTTAGACCTGGTTTAGACCTGGTTTAGACCTGGTTTAGACCTGGTTTAGACCTGGTTTAGACCTGGACCACTCTGGAACCTACCTGGACCACTGAGGGATTACACTGCTATAAGGCCACAAGGGAATAGTACTACCATTATTGCTGAAAATCACATTCTATTGTCTAAATAAAGAGTTTTTTAAAGGTTACACAAAATTGACTCTCATGAGTTTTAATGTTATAATTTTGTTCTGTCCTCAAAGACAGACCTGTGTTGTTGTGTTTTGTTTCATTCACACATGTTACATATTACTCTGTACATCTCCAAAGCTCAAAATGCACTGATCCATCTCGTGATGTCAATATGTGATCAAGTGAACTGCTACCCTTTACATTTTGTTTAGTTGAGATTGGAAATAAGAGATTGGACAATGAAGAGTGAAGGTGTATGGAGTTTAAAAACACAGCAGAGTACTTCCTGTGTTACAGAAGGAGGAGATCTGCACTGCAGTTCTTTGAAACAGCCAAATTTTTATTTCAGTGACACCACAATGTGACGTTTCGGGTTAAGCCCTTCTTCTTGTCACATTGTGATATCCTGTCAAAGACAGGGTTCCCACTATTTTTCACTGACAAAATCTGAAAACTTTTCCATGACTTTCTCATGACCTAAAGTGAATTTTCCATGACTTTACGGCACCTACATGTGTACAATTGATCAGACTTTTAGGGCTAAATATGAAATGTGAACTCTTTCCACTCATCTTATGGTTTGGGATTATAGTTTTTAATATTCAAAATCCTGTCAGTGCATTTATTGCCGTTTCTTTTAAACAAAAGGCATGAATGTTCAGAAAGAATCAAAATAACCTCATGAGAACTGAACAGAGAGCTGGAGATGTATGAAAGAGATACTACAATTCAATGACTTTTCCAAAACTTTAATTGAATTTACATAATTCCATGAGTTTTTCAGGCTTGGAAAATGACATTTTCAATTTCCCTGACTTTTCTAGGATTTCCATGATTGTGGGAACCCTGCAAAAGAACTGCCGTGTGGATTTCTTTCTTATTTTGAAAATGTTTGTTTTTGGCCCCAGCACGCAGTTGCATTATTTATTGGATGTACATGTCTATCTACCGGTATTACTTCCTGTATTACCACATGACATCACAAGGTGGAGTGTTTTCTGTTTGAGAGAAGAACTCAGCCTAAATATACTGGGTTTGTGTGTTAAATGTTTGAATGAAACAAAACACAACTCCAGGTCTGTTCATGATGAGGAAACAACATTAAAACATAGATCAGAAAATAGTGTAATACATCGCCTTTATTCTCGAGATGTGTGAAGAATCCCTCAGTCGTCCAGGTAGAATCCATGTCGAGGAGAAAATTCAGTTTGTCGACTGGACAAAAGTTAGTTTGGTTGAAGATGTTTCGCAGCTCATCCAAGCTGCTTCTTCAGTTCTGGGGACTTTTGTCCAGTCAACAAACTGAATTTTCCCCTCAATACGTGCCCTTTAATCATCGCTGTATTGAGATCTGTATTGAGTATCGAGTCTTTTACTTAGTATCAACACTCAGTTTGAAATTTTAGTATCATAATAAAACTACTCCACATGATCTTGTTTTTAAAAGACAGGATTTTAGTAACCCCAGTGTGCTCAACCGGGTCTTACCTGCTGGTTCCCTCCGGGCTGTAGAACACCGAGTACATGAGCTCCTCTCCGTGGGGCTCCACCGGGGGGCGCCAGGTGAGCTTGACGAAGCGCGTGGACACCAGAGACGCCACCAGGTCCCGCGGCGCCGAGGGGGTGGGGCCCGCGGTGTCGGACACGCCTCCCGAGCCTGGCGTTACATGGTCAGTAGTGTTAGGAGTCAGTGAGGGGGAGGGGCCGGAGGGCAGGGCTACGTCTGAGGGGCGGGGCGAAGGAGGGAGGCGGGGCAAAGGGGAGGGGGCGGGGACAGTGATGGAATGAGAATGACAGTGAAAGAAACGAAAGAAAGGGAGAAAAGAAAAACAAAAAAAGAAAAAACAAAACATAACAAAAAGGACTCTTGGTGTGAGACAGAGCACAAAAACACTAGTACTACAAACACGCTAACAGATAAGGCACGATACAGGGGGCTGGCATGCAGCTACACACAGCTCTACACAGGCTCCTAAACACTACAGGACGCAACAATCTCCAACAACTCCTGTCAGCGACAATCATTTTTCACCAAAAATGATTCGTGCTAATAGATTTCAACACTTGGATACAGCTGGGATAGTTTTATGTAGGAAGAAAAACACCATAGAAACATAAAAGTCCAATGAGGTTTATTTGGTCTTCTGATAATTTATGTTTTTAGGTTCTTTTTACAGACTAAGAGTTTGTTTTCATACCTGACAGTTTGGACTGCTCACTAGTGGTCTTCCTCAGAGTGGTTACAGTGAGTCAAAAATTCTGCAGCGTCTTTTAACCAGGACACGTCGTAAAAAACACACTATTTTATCCTCATTGCACTAGCTCCCCGTTCATTTTAGAGTTGATTTTAAAATATTATTTGTTTTAAAAGCACTTCATGGATTGGCACCAAAGTATATTTCTGACCTTACTGTTCCTACACTCCTGAGGTTTGAGGGCCAGCTCCAGCTTCAACTCGACTCAAAAGCCGGGGTGACCCTGGGATGACCGAACCTTTTCTGTGATTGGCCCCAAACCTCCCCAAACACTCTCCCCTCTCACGTTAAAGGTTATATAGAGGATTTTTTTTTAGTTTCAAATTGTTAATGAAAGTTTAAAATACCATTACAGAGACAAAGCAGCCTTGTAATTATGACCAAAAAAAAAAAAAAAGAATGAAAATCTGTCAACTGTGGACATAGTGAGGCCAGATAAACATCAGCCAATAGATAACAAGGCTCCCTCTTTATCTATTGGCTGTTAGGTTGTCAATCAAACTGCCAGGGATTACGTGGTTTATGCAGCGGTTCTTAGAGGCTTTTTCAAACTGTAGCTTCCTCGCATTTTGCACAAAGTTTGTTGCAATGGCGGAGGAGAATCTACAACCTGTTCTCTGCAAAACAAAGTCCGTTTTTGAGGTCGCTGAAAGAAGAAGAGAAGGGGAAAAGGAGCTAAGGCAAACTGAGGTGATTCTTGGAGATTCCTTCCAGTGATTGCGCGACTGAAGTAGACAAAGGGTCTAAAAACTGATGCATCGGTTGCTAAATTACTTCTAGACAGGTCACTTCAACAGTAATTCTGGACGCGCACTGGATGTAAACAAGTGTGATTTCTAGAGTAAAGAAGCGGGAGGAGGTGTTTCTACTGAGGGAGCTGAGGAGGAGGAAGGTGGTGTCACGCATGCCAAAAAGTTGTTTAAATCATCTGAGTGACACGTCACAGCAACATCACGAGACTCTGAGGAAGTGCAGGGAGCAGAACAAACTGTCAGGGGTGAAAACAAACTCTTGGTCTGAAAAAAGAACCTAATAACATAACATTAACACAAGTTTGACTTTCTTTTTGATGCTCTTGTGTGCAAAGTCACTCCCCCTTCAGAGCACTATCACGACACAATCAGCGTGCATTTCACTAATGACACTTCTGCACATCGCATCAGGTTTGTTGTTGCTGTGTATTGTTTTGTATCAAGTTTTTGAGAGTATTTAGAGAGATTTGTTGTGTGGGAGCATGAGTGATGTACACTTGTGGGTGGAACTTTGTACAGGCTCCTCCTCCTAACTGTAAGGAGGATTTGAATCGGACCTAAGACGGGAGAGATCACCAAAACTATTTCCGGCATTTTTTTGATCAGGGAACAGCGTTAAAAAAGCTTAAAAATGTAAAAAAGCTTTAAAAAATTGTGCATAATAGCCCTTGTTTAAATGAAAGCAGGGTCAGCACTGCAGAGAACGTGACAATCTGTTTATGTCAGATGCCCTTATTCGTCAAAAACTAACTGTGAGAATGGTGGTAATATGTGAGAATGTTCTGAACATAACAGAGAACAAAACCAGGGTTGTGCCAAATCTAAAACAGAAAACCTGCCACTCCCCAGTTATGATTTTCAATAATTATAAAATCATAATCGTTTCCACAAAGTTAAGTGAACATTTTTTTTTATATCTTTTTCATTTTTTCAGCATTAACAGAATCTGGCTGGCCCTTGTTTGCTCCCCCCCGATCCTCGAGTTTGCCACAGACTTTAAATGGTCTCCTACAGCAGCGCAGATGTCTGAGCGCGCTCACAAAGCAGCAGATGTTTTTAAAGCCTTGTGCCGGGACATTCCAGAGCCGACCACAGAAATGCAGCGGTTCAGTTAAAGAACAGACTGTGGGCGCACCATACAATCTGAGAGGCCTGCAAGTGTTTTCTAGAATGTGGAGACTAGACCAGGCTAAACCAGGGCTAAACCAGGACTACACCAGGTACTAAATCAGGACCAAACCCAGACTAAACTAGGACTACACCAGGTACTAAATCAGGACCAAACCCAGACTAAACTAGGACTACACCACGTACTAAAGCAGGATTAAACCAGGACTAAACTAGAACTAAATTAGATACTAAAGCAAGACTAGATAAAATACTGAAGCAGAGCTAGACCAGGGCTAGACCAGGACTGAACCAGGACTGAACCAGACCTAAACCAGGACTGAACTAGGACCTGAACACATTATAAACCAGGACTATAACAAACAAGCTTTCTAACCACAGTCATAGAAATACCAGGATTAACTCAGGACAGGTGACATTCACATATCACATCTGCTCCTTTTGTGTTCAAACAGACCCTAGTCTCCTGAACATATCCTGAACATATCACGACTGCTGTGTGAATAGTTCAGGAGCAGCTCGGGAGAAAAAAAAAAGCACACCTCAATCCTCCGCCTGCGTGCCATTCATCTATCAGGACCTAACCACTTATTTAACTTTCACCGCTTCACTGACATCTTTAAACCAGGACTAAACCAGGACTAAACCAGGTCTAAACCAGGTCTAAACTAGAACTAAACTAGGGCTAAACCAGGACTAAACTAGGACTAAACCAGGTCTAAACTAGGACTAAACTAGGGCTAAACCAGGACTAAACCAGGACTAAACCAGGACTAAACTACTAAACCAGGACTAAACCAGGTCTAAACTAGGACTAAACTAGAACTAAACTAGGGCTAAACCAGGACTAAACTAGGACTAAACCAGGTCTAAACTAGGACTAAACTAGGACTAAACCAGGACTAAACCAGGTGTAAACTAGGGCTAAACCAGGACTAAACCAGGTCTAAACCAGGAACTGAACAATTTATAAACCAGGATTATAACTAATAGATTTAGACAAACCATGGCTACAGAAATACTAAGACTAATCCAGGTCTGAACTTGGACTAAAGCAGGTACTAAACCAGGGCTAAACCGGGACTAAACCGGGACTAAACCGGGACTAGGCCAGGACCATACCAGGACCTGAACAAGTTATAAACCAGGATTATAACAAATCACCTTAGACAAACAACAGCTACAGAAATACTAAGACTAAACCAGCTCTAAACTAGGACTAAAGCAGGTACTAAACCAGGACTAGGCCAGGACTAGGCCAGGACTAAATCAGGACTAAACCAGAGCTAAACCAGGACCACACCAAGACCTGAACAAGTTATAAACCAGAATTATAACAAATAAACTCAGACAAACGACAGCTACAGAAATACTAAGACTAAACCAGGTCTAGAGTAGGACTAAAGCAGTTTTATGCAAAAATTAAACAATAATGACTAGACCACAGATAACCCATGACTGAACCAAGACTAAACCAGGACTACAACCAAGATAAACCAAATCTAAAAACCCACGAGAGAAAAATATGAACCCAAAAAGATGAACTCCTGAACATATCCTGAACATATCACGAGTGCCGTTTGAATGCTGTGTGAATAGTTCAGGAGCAGCTCGGAAAAAAAGCTCCCTCCTCCGCCTGCGTGCCATTTGTCTGTCAGGAGCTAACCACTTATTTAGCTTTCACCGCTTCACTGGCATTTGGACTCTGCGAGCCCAGGTATTCGGTTGCTAAAGATTATAAAGTTCCTGGCGGTACAAAAGCCTCATTCACGCAGTCAGACGTGAAGAGAAAAACATGTTTGTGAAGATTTAACCTTTAAATGTGACATATTGTGCTTGATTATCCCTTTTAAAATACTCCAGACAGTTTGGCCGTGGTATTTCACGCTATACGACTTAAAATGCGTTGTTGGGGAGCAATTTGGCTTTCACTTTCCTTTTGAACACTCGGAGGTGTCTACGATAGCCTCTGTTTGACATTACAACAGGGTGGAGCGTTTTGAAATCAATAGTGAAATTAAAATCCTCAGTGTTTTCGGAAGTAACTTAACACGTGTACCAACAATATGTATTCTATGGCTCATTTTTAAACACCCTGTACCCGACTTTTGCCCATTTATTTGAGCTAAATTGGTCATGACCCAGTTAGAGTTGTCAAAAACATCGGAAATCTGATCGGACTATACTAGTAAATCTAAAATTGAAACTGGATTTGAGCAGGTATCGATACTAAAAAAAATCACATTCATAGGACAGAAATGAACCTTTCCTAAATAGTTTTACAATGATCTTGAGCTGTATCAGACTGGGATGTAACAGTAATCGAAATATCGTGATATTGTATCCTTAAAAGTCTCACAATAATCTCGTGGGCTGTCAAAATATATATCGAATCTGAAGTGTCTTTGCTTAAATTCATTTTTTTGGTGCAGTAACAGCTAAAAACAGTGAACAACATAGACCATGATCCTTTGCAGTGTTTCAGTCCAATCTACATGCTGAAATAACTGTTATAAGCGCATTGAAATCATAATTATTTGGAAGTAACAACAGAAAAGTAGCATACTCACAATTTTGCTTTGTTTTTT